GGGACGGATCGCATAGTTAGTATTATCAATTACTTCCAGCGTTCCGAAACCAACCCAGTCGCTGGATGGAATTGTGTCGTTTATAAAGTCGGAGAGTGCTGGTCCCAGTTTTATGTGGAGTGCGAGCGATGCCATCTACTGACCACTCATTTGTTCTAAATGATTTTCCAGCTTACATCAGTGCATGACGTCGACTACCACCATCAAAATAACGTGATTTTCACAACAAATTATTTATCGCAAACAAAAAATGTACATCAACCTAACTTCAGCAAATATACATGTCAACCATCATCAAAAATACTCATGAGTTCCTTAACAACTTGAAAACTGACAAAATAATGATCTACTCTAACGACTGGTCATTCACACATTAGACTCTTCAGTAATCAAACCCACTTAATAGAATTTATTAGGCATCACAATGAAACTGGAGTGTGATTGCGAGAAAATAAAAAATTCGACAATTTTAGCTCATCTATAAGAGTGAACACCGAAATAATGCAGAAAAATATGCAGTCATGGATAAACAACAAAAGATAATTTGCATATGACCTATCCCAGGCAACCAATCCCATTAGTTGCTAGCCAGTCCTAAGCCCGGGTAAAGAAGGAAGGTTGGGAGTAGGACTACCAACCCTATCCCAGAAAACCAATTCAACCCCTCAAAAAACTCCAAAGCACAAACAAAATATCAAAAATAAAAGTAAACTTATTCCTCTCTGTAATTGGGGAGACAAAATGACGCCGGTCGGTGAAAGCCTTCGGCAAGCCAATTGGTCGATGCATCTTCTCTCGATGAGGGCAAAAGTAAACATGGGGACATGGAATATCCCCACAATGTTCGAAGTTAGCAAGGGTGTCCAGATTGCAAAACAAACGAGAAGATATGGCATAGAAGTGCTGAGAATCTGCGAAAGCAGATGGAATGGAAGTGGACTCTCCAAACTGTCAACTGGAGAGTCAATAATCAATCGACTCCGATATTGTCACCCAGACGACAACCATAAGCACACTGAGTTTACGAGTGGCTATCATGATGTCCACTCACAAGAGCATCGAAGGCTCTCCCTCATGCAGTGGGAACCAATCTCCTCCTGCAGGATCAGGATCATGACAACAAGATTCAACTGAAGAGGAAGCAAAGTCACAATCATTCAATGCTACACACATACAAATAATGCAGATGAAGAGAAGAAGGAGGAATTCTACAGACAACTACTAGACAACCACTACTAGACAAGACCGCACACCAGTTGGCGACATCAAAATTCTAATGGGCATGGCGACATGAATGCCAGCCAAACTGTGCACAGACAACACAGGAAGAGAATCAATCATGAGTCGAGAAGCACTCGGTGAAATCATGAGTGAGAATGGAGAAGTGTTTGCAGACTTCTGCACATTCAACGACTTGGTGATTGGAGTCAGGCAGTGTGTATGAAAACACAAGGATATTCACAAGACAGTGACATGGATTTAATTTCACCAGACACCAGACACACTACGCTAGAAGTCAGATCGACTTCATCTCAATCTGAAGGAAGTTAAGAAGCAGCCTACTGGACACAAGATCAGATCAAGAAGGGGAACAGATGTAGGTTCACACCACTCACTATCTACTGCAAACAACCTGTCTTCAAAATCAACTTGAAAGCCTTCGACGAAGAAGTTGGTGATAGACCACAGTTGAAGTTCAACACCCAGAAGAGAAACTGAACTGAAGGACGAAACTACAAAGGACATCTTCACGTCAGTCAGTCATCAGGATAAAATGGGAGATATCGAGCAACATCCCTGAAGAAACCTGTGTGGAAGAACACTGGAACTCTTTGAAAGCTATGTGGAAAGAAACCTGCATAACCGTACTAGGAAGGAAGAGGGAACAAAACAAGGAATGGATGTCGACGGGCACTTGGAAGCTGATAGAGGAGGGAGAGGGAGAGGGAGAGGAAGATGGTGAAGCAGAAGATAAACCAGTGCAAGAATGAACAAAACCTATAAAACACTAAACTGGACAAAAAAGTGAGGAAGGATGCGCGCAAAAACAAAAGACACCTAATTCTGACACACTGACAAGTGAAGCAGAACAGGTTGCAGGTACGAGAGACCTTACAATACTACATAAAATAATCAGGTTACTATCTGGGAAGAGATTAACGCAGATGAAAGCAATGAAAGATAGTAAAGGAAAGCTAGTTACTAAAGAGGAGAAATAAAGGGAACAATGGGCTGACTACTTCAAAAAACTCTTGAATCGGCCACCACAACCACAACCACTAACTGCAACTGCAACTCGTCCAGAAATACCACCAGCAACGACAGAACTACAAGTAAACACACAGGCCCTCCGACAATAGCAGGAGTCCTGAATCCCATAAAGTTGCAGAAATCCGAGAGAGCAGCAGGACCAGATGGAATTCTTCCAGAAACACTGAAAACAGACGCAGAGACGACAGCAGCAGACATGCTCACACCACACTACTACTGCAGAAGGTTTGCAAGGAAGGCAGGAAGGGTACCTGTGGTTTGATTGAAAGAAGGGCTATCTTGTGAAACTTCCAAACAAGGGAGATCTAAGTCTTTGCAAGAACTAGCGTGGAATCATGCTCCTGTCCACCCTAAGCAAAATATTATGCCGCATCATCCTGGAGAGACTAAAAGATGCTCTGCATTCAAAATAACGACCGGAACAGGCTGGCTGGCTGGCTGGCTGGCTGGCTGGCTGGCTTCAGGAAGTACAAATCATGTGCGGACCAAATTGTAAAGCTACGCTACTCATCATCATGGAACAGAGCATAGAATGGCAGTCAACTCAACTCAGCTCAACCTCAACTTTATCGACTTTGAAAAGGCCTTCGACAGCGTCGACCGAGAAGTAATTTGACAGGCAGCTGCTTGCTTCAACACTACGTTTTCAGTGCCACAAACCTTTATGAACCTCATGCCATATGATGCTACATGCCAAGTGATTCACAATGGAAAGCTCAACGATGCCTTTGAAGTGAAGACAGGAGTAAGACAAGACTACCGCCTACTGTCACCGATGATCTTTCTGATTGTGGTCGACTGGACTGGGTGATGCGACAGACAACTGTGAGGAGCGGGAAGATGGGCATTCGCTGGCTGGACGGATGAAAAGACCCCAGGAGAAGATTTGGATTTCGCCGCCGATGATGATGATGATTTATGTCTAATGTTTTGTTGCACAAACTCGAAGATCTACAGGCAAAAACCAACAAGTTGGCAGGTGAGGTGAGGCGAAGACGGGACTTCGTTCAGGTGAATGTAGAGAAGACATAGGTGATGAAGATACCCAGCCAACAACAGCATCAACAACCAGCACCAATAACCATCAACGGGATAAATGTGAGAGAAGTTGTCTATTTCACCTACCATCTAGGCAGCATCGTTTCAACTACAGGTGGCACAGAAACAGATGGGGATGTCAAAACCAGGATTGGAAAAGCAAGACAGGCCTTCATCAATTCGAAATCAGTGTGGAGATCTACTGCACTGCACTGCACTGCACTGCACTCAGCGTAAATAACATGATCCGGATTTTCAACACTAATGTCAAGTAAGTCAGTGTTTCTATATGGTTCAGAGACTTGGCGTGTTACGAAAAGCATTTGCAACAAACTACAGACATTGATCAACAGCTGCTGCCTACCCTCACTAGATACTGAAGATCAGATAGTCAGAATAATAAGAATAAGCAACAAGGAACTCTGACTGGCTGGCAACGAACCAACCAAGAACCTAACGCCCAACAAATATGCAGAAGGAAGTGGAGATGGATTGGGTTGGTCATATATTGAGAAGACCGTTCGGGAAACGACGAGTTGGGCGTCGCAGCTGAGGCTGACATTGAGGAGATCATGTGAGGAAGAAATGAAAGGTAATGGGAAGTCGTGGAGTCAGTTTGAAAAGACTGCAGAGAACAGAGTGGAATGGAGACGTTTTACTGAAGCCCTATGTTCCACTAGGAAGCCAAGGGCTAAATAATAAATAATAACTTGCCTTTTTTTCATTCAATCATTGAGGGCGTTTTGTAGAGCTGTGGCTAATTGGTTCAGGAAGATTACTTTGCACCAGTCTGTCGCGGGCTCGAACCCCTCTACACCCACAGAGGTTTGGACAGCCAGGTAGTCTCACTGGATATCACACAAAGGTGTGACTAATTGTCTATGGCACGAACGTGCTCAAGGTTGTTGAGTACATTTCTCATTGAAGATATTTTTCATCCTAAACTTACATTAAGGATAAGACTTCACATCACAGACTGTGATGAACAGAATGTGTAACACATACTGGCTAATTTAATCCATGAATATTAACCATAACACTGACTGATTAACATCTATATGTTGTTAAAAGGGACATTATATAACATGACACCTCAACTTATTGCGTCAATTAAAAAAATCATGAACTACAGAATGAAGACATGAAAATGAGTCTACAAACCATTTCACTGCGAAAAGGTCACAGTGTGCCTCCGCGTCCTAGGCTGATAATTACCGACTTCACAACTCATCTGATAAGGTCAAGACTTTTTTAATGCATTCAGACTACAGAAAAAAGTATGAAAACTAATGCTACAAAACTACTTACATTATCTCCCGGAAAACGAATCAGCAAACGTATCAAATAACTTGGTAAATGAGGATAGCGTAAGTAGAAGGAATTATTCAAATCATACGTTTCCTCATTCTCAGAGGACCTTCAGTTGGATCAAGTTCCCATTTAGCTAAAGGATCCGGAGTGGTTCTCCCCCATAAACCACGCTCCCGTGTAAGCTCTTTTTCTATTTTTTCCCATTCACCTTCAAGATGACGTTGATTGAAGGATAAATTCTGGAAGGAAGATAAAAATGAAGATATAGTCTTGAGAGGTAAATTACTTTGAGTAGGGTAAAATAAGATTATCATTTATGGTTAAACATGATAATAACAAATCCAGGCACAATCAACCAGAACCTCAAACACAAGTACATCGGTTCAACTTGTTACACTTCATACCAGTATAAAAACAAGTGGAGAGAAAAAGAGATATAAAACTAGAAAGTGCTAGGGAGGAAGAAGAATTTGAAAAATGAAGGTTAGCAAGAATTTATATACTTCATAAGACGTTAAAAATTAACACATCTACGCCACTACGATGTTTTCAGCCACGGCAATAAGGATATTCAACCACTGATTCCTCTCATCCGGAGGACCTCAACCAAGGAGTCTACACCTCTCTACACAGTTCACATCAATAATCAGAGGCTTAAATGGGTTGATAAAATGTTTTGATCCCGCTCATTCATCCATCCAAATCAGTATAGAACCAGGGATTACTGAGTAACGGCCTGGGTTGCTACACCTCATATCAGTACATCAAGTAAAAAAGGAGTGAAGTGGGAGATGAAGAAAAAAAACTTCAGTCAGAAGAAATACAAAGCACAAAAAGAGAGAGAGAGAGAAAGAATGGGAAAATGGTGACATTCAGTACAGCGTTAGGATGAGGTTAATGTGTGTATACATCTGTGCCACTGACATCCGTTCTCAGCCATATCACCTAGAGTCTACAACTCCTCGTTCCTCTTGTCCTGCGAACCCCAACCACCTAGTCTGCATCGCCCCACATGGCACAAACCAACAGTCAAACACTTCATAAATTGGTGTCATTTTTCAGTCTGGCCGTCTCAAGCCTTTTTCCAGCGTGAACCTATTTCGGCCAACATTGTGTGACGAGGTGGACAGCGACTAGACATACATAACACATGTCGCAACCAACCATCTCAGTCGATGAAGGTTCACAACCTCGTCAACTGACTTACCTATTCTCCCTAAAACTCTGCTCATGACTTCTGCGTTGCTCACGTGATGACACCATGGAATACGTCCTATACTACGAAGGTAATGCTGGTCAAACACCTGAAACCTTCTCATGTCTTCTACCTTCAATGACCATGTTTCACAGCCATACAGTAGAACAGAGCGGACTGCTGTGCAGCATACGCGACCCTTAATACACAAACGGATATCACAGCAGCGCCACAGGTGGTGTAAGTTGGCAAAAGCCAATCGAGCCTTTTGTATCCGCATCCCAAACATTCTTAAATTGTCACTCAAAGTGTTATGAAGACTCTGCATCTTGTCAGCGTCTTCACCACAAGTATTCGAGTAGGGAGCCTTCAACAAAGTGATGTACTTACTCGGTACGCCTTTCAGTGAGAGATATTGTCATAAGACTTCTTGGTCAACGGATTCGAATGCCGCCGCCTTCAGGTCAAGAAATATAGCTATTGTCGGTCACCGGTAAGTGGGTCTATGTTCCTAAACCTGGTACAGTGTGAATATTTGGTCGATACACCCGCGGCCAGGTCTAAAGCCTGCTTGGTTTTCATGGGCTTGCTGCTTCCGAGCTCCACAAAGGTGTCGAAGAACCTGGAATGTTAGACACCATGTTTGTCGGGCTGATTCCTCTGTGGTATCACAAGAGGACTTCTCGCCTTTCTTGAAGACAGTGGTTTAGACCACTCAGAGGGGATCGTATTTGATTCCTATATACTAGTTAAAACTTCTGTTAACATGACTAAGAGCACCCTACCACCATCCTTGTATACGTCAGGAGTTAGTCCGTCTGGTCCTGCTGCCCTTCCTCGTTTCAGGTTACCTACAGCTTTCTCGACTTCTGCAAGTGTTGGGGGGCCTATCTCAATGTTCCACTCAGGATGCGACTCAAAAGCGGGGAACGCAATGGTAGCAGGAGGTCAGTTAAACTGTCCTGCGAAGTGTTCTGCCCATCGTTCCAGTCGTCTCTACTGCGGGTGAATCGCAGATTCGTCCCACTCCGCTATAGCCACACTAACCGCAGTTGACCTTTTCCCCCCAGTTTCCTTAATAAGTCTAAATAACTGTTTACTGTTATCAATCGCCGCCGCCTTTTTCAACTCTTTAGCCTTCGCTGCCCACCACTGTTCGCGGTCACTGCGTCGACTTTTTCTCATTCTACTTTTAAGTTGTGCTCGCTCTTCATTGTACTCAGAGCATAAAGGCAGGGATGCGTTTACGTGTATCCATTAGTTCGGAAGAAGCTGCTGATATCCACTGGTTTTTTTAGCGACTCTTCTGGGGTCGGCTACGGTCTTCAGCGCTGCTTTTACAGCAGACCGGAGATAGTACGAAGCTTCTACTGGATGAGTGATAGCGTTCTGTTCCAATAACTGCCTAGCCAACTTCTCACTGAACACGGCTTTGGTGTTTTTGTTGTCGAGCAGCACTCGTAGTGGTTTTGTTGCCAAATTTTTCCAACGTCCATTTAGACGCAGTCTGAAGAAACTTGTGTGGTGGTAGAGCTGTGAGGGCCGTTGACACTTTCCGGCTGCCCACACCGTTGAAGGATATTTCTTATTAAGGTGCCTGAAAGAGATCTGTGTGACCGCAGAGCCCATCTGACATCTGTTTGAGGCCTGTCGCACGCAGCCTTTTGAGTATAGTTGTTTTAGGGCCGGATGGTTGAAAAGAGACGACAAATGAACCAACACCGCCGGCCCGGCAGACCGTGGGATCTGGAGTGTTATTTTTAGGGGCGACCTTTTCTAAACCCCCTTCCACTGAGAAGGCAGCATCAGCATGGCACTGCTGGTCATCCAAGGGGAACACCTCACTGCTGTCACACCCCATCCAACTAGCACTAATACCACTTTGCTCTCAGAACCCCATCATAGTGTGGCAGTTCACACCACAACGGTAACTGCTTTTCGTCTAACCACTATCCAACAGACCTTTCTGCTATGGTAGGACCTCGAGGGAACAAGCGTTCCACCAGGATAGCTCGTTGGGTCATCGTGGTACGCAAGCCTGACCACCACATCAAGGTAGCAGCTATCAGTCGGGCTGCAGTGAGCTTTCTTCAAAACTCATCCTAACAAAGGTGAAATCATACACAGATGTAGGTAATGATTTGGAATGTGCGGCACGTGTCAAAGCCATCTTAGTCGGTAAACATTAACAACTTCGTTAGCTGATTTACCTTCCTTTTTAATACCCTATCCACGACTATGACATTGCTTACATAGCGATTCCACCAATTGAGAGCAGTGCTACAAAGACGCTTCTGGTCAGATGATAGTAAGCCCTAAAGCAGGACATAGAAAACTGTTGGGTAGCATACTTGATCTTCAATAGGTAGTCGTATATCTCATCGGCAGATTAGTAAATGACAAATCGGCCTTTCGTACCCAAGATGCTTCGTCAGTGACAGACTTGCTAAGGATGATGCAGCGCTCAAAATAAGTGAAGTCGTCTACACACTCCAACACTTCACTGCATATCCTTAAATTAGCAGCTAGTAATGACCAATTTCTGAAGCAGCACCTCACATTTGACACAGGTAAAATGAATGTTAGGCATAGTAAACTTTCTGCCGAAAATGCTCAGAGGATCATTAAGAGTGCCTTATTTCTAAAGGGAGTAAGAAGGTGAACATACGAACATTGTAACTGTAGACAAATGTGAGGCCTTCATACATTCATTGTTTCCGAGGTTCGGTCGCACAGGAGGGACTACAAATTACAGAACTTTAGAAATGATAATATCATACAATCCAATTAGCAACTTGTAGACATTCATTGATTTCAAATTGGTTTTTAATCACGAGCTGATGCCCATTGGAGAATCGTTGGAAGCATCTAGGTGAACTTCATATTAATAGAGAACAATACATTTTGTAAAAACAGTTATTTAGCGAATAATACTGTTTCAATATGCAATTACATTCAACAATAGTGCTCAAGTTTGAGTCTGACAGCAACTGACAACTGTTTCATCTTAATTTCTCACAGATTTTCAATGACAATCAAGATGAAATCTGCCTGTAACGAAAAGTGGTTTGTTAATGTTAATGCAAGTTGTCAAACGTTTTCAGTTATCATGAAAGAATTTCTTTCCTGTAATTCGTAAAACTAATCCTTACAATTCAAAAGTGCTTAGCTACGCTTGATAAGCATCAGGAAATGTTGATTCCCTTGCATAAAATCCCCAACAAAATAGTAACAATAATGGTTAGAATTATGGAGAAATTAAATTCCTGTACAAATTACTTGATAAAATTGTGTTTTCTGTTGATCAAGTAATTCATGGATGAAATTCATTTGATTTGGAGCCCACAACTGTATAGCCTATAAATATAGCAAAATTTTAAAATTATTCCCAAATGAATAAAATATTTCTTTTATCACAAACAACAGTTGCATAAAAAACAATATATTGAATGAATAAAGTACAGATTTCATCTATACGCTAGAAGCAAAGACTTAATTCAAGTTTTTCATGATTTCCATTTATTACACAGCTTAGTGAGTCCTGAACAAAACAGTGTCTGAATGTTTCCCAGTCCAAAGTCAACGGAAAATAATGAGAGGCCAAGATGAACACATTAATACGCTAAACAAATAAAGCAATTCTTAGACCAATTATACTTGCCGATTTCTTTTGACTTAATGAACGTTTCAACAGCGAATTTGATAAGGCGAAAAATAATATCAAAAAAATACATAAATAAAGAGTACTGAAGGAATTCAACACTCTTAGACATGCATCAATTCGCAGAAACAGCAATCATATCCTTGGTGAATGAAATGCAGTATAAACTTACGAGTAGTATTTCAATCTCATAACAATCTAACTAACTGTCATTAGAAAAATCAAGTGGAAAAACACAGGACAAGGCCGACATAACAGATAGCAGAACGCAAACCAAAAAATTGCAGCAGCCATCTCATTATTATTAGTCTCCTGGGTTCCTAGCGGAACATAGGGCTTCAGTAAAACGTCTCCATTCCACTCTGTTCTCTGCAGTCTTTTCAAACTGACTCCACGACTTCCCATTACCTTTCATTTCTTCCTCACATGATCTCCTCAATGTCAGCCTCAGCTGCGACGCCCAACTCGTCGTTTCCCGAACGGTCTTCTCAATATATGACCAACCCAATCCATCTCCACTTCCTTCTGCATATTTGTTGGGCGTTAGGTTCTTGGTTGGTTCGTTGCCAGCCAGTCAGAGTTCCTTGTTGCTTATTCTTATTATTCTGACTATCTGATCTTCAGTATCTAGTGAGGGTAGGCAGCAGCTGTTGATCAATGTCTGTAGTTTGTTGCAAATGCTTTTCGTAACACGCCAAGTCTCTGAACCATATAGAAACACTGACTTACTTGACATTAGTGTTGAAAATCCGGATCATGTTATTTACGCTGAGTGCAGTGCAGTGCAGTGCAGTGCAGTAGATCTCCACACTGATTTCGAATTGATGAAGGCCTGTCTTGCTTTTCCAATCCTGGTTTTGACATCCCCATCTGTTTCTGTGCCACCTGTAGTTGAAACGATGCTGCCTAGATGGTAGGTGAAATAGACAACTTCTCTCACATTTATCCCGTTGATGGTTATTGGTGCTGGTTGTTGATGCTGTTGTTGGCTGGGTATCTTCATCACCTATGTCTTCTCTACATTCGCCTGAACGAAGTCCCGTCTTCGCCTCACCTCACCTGCCAACTTGTTGGTTTTTGCCTGTAGATCTTCGAGTTTGTGCAACAAAACATTAGACATAAATCATCATCATCATCGGCGGCGAAATCCAAATCTTCTCCTGGGGTCTTTTCATCCGTCCAGCCAGCGAATGCCCATCTTCCCGCTCCTCACAGTTGTCTGTTGCATCACCCAGTCCAGTCGACCACAATCAGAAAGATCATCGGTGACAGTAGGCGGTAGTCTTGTCTTACTCCTGTCTTCACTTCAAAGGCATCGTTGAGCTTTCCATTGTGAATCACTTGGCATGTAGCATCATATGGCATGAGGTTCATAAAGGTTTGTGGCACTGAAAACGTAGTGTTGAAGCAAGCAGCTGCCTGTCAAATTACTTCTCGGTCGACGCTGTCGAAGGCCTTTTCAAAGTCGATAAAGTTGAGGTTGAGCTGAGTTGAGTTGACTGCCATTCTATGCTCTGTTCCATGATGATGAGTAGCGTAGCTTTACAATTTGGTCCGCACATGATTTGTACTTCCTGAAGCCAGCCAGCCAGCCAGCCAGCCAGCCAGCCTGTTCCGGTCGTTATTTTGAATGCAGAGCATCTTTTAGTCTCTCCAGGATGATGCGGCATAATATTTTGCTTAGGGTGGACAGGAGCATGATTCCACGCTAGTTCTTGCAAAGACTTAGATCTCCCTTGTTTGGAAGTTTCACAAGATAGCCCTTCTTTCAATCAAACCACAGGTACCCTTCCTGCCTTCCTTGCAAACCTTCTGCAGTAGTAGTGTGGTGTGAGCATGTCTGCTGCTGTCGTCTCTGCGTCTGTTTTCAGTGTTTCTGGAAGAATTCCATCTGGTCCTGCTGCTCTCTCGGATTTCTGCAACTTTATGGGATTCAGGACTCCTGCTATTGTCGGAGGGCCTGTGTGTTTACTTGTAGTTCTGTCGTTGCTGGTGGTATTTCTGGACGAGTTGCAGTTGCAGTTAGTGGTTGTGGTTGTGGTGGCCGATTCAAGAGTTTTTTGAAGTAGTCAGCCCATTGTTCCCTTTATTTCTCCTCTTTAGTAACTAGCTTTCCTTTACTATCTTTCATTGCTTTCATCTGCGTTAATCTCTTCCCAGATAGTAACCTGATTATTTTATGTAGTATTGTAAGGTCTCTCGTACCTGCAACCTGTTCTGCTTCACTTGTCAGTGTGTCAGAATTAGGTGTCTTTTGTTTTTGCGCGCATCCTTCCTCACTTTTTTGTCCAGTTTAGTGTTTTATAGGTTTTGTTCATTCTTGCACTGGTTTATCTTCTGCTTCACCATCTTCCTCTCCCTCTCCCTCTCCATCCTCTATCAGCTTCCAAGTGCCCGTCGACATCCATTCCTTGTTTTGTTCCCTCTTCCTTCCTAGTACGGTTATGCAGGTTTCTTTCCACATAGCTTTCAAAGAGTTCCAGTGTTCTTCCACACAGGTTTCTTCAGGGATGTTGCTCGATATCTCCCATTTTATCCTGATGACTGACTGACGTGAAGATGTCCTTTGTAGTTTCGTCCTTCAGTTCAGTTTCTCTTCTGGGTGTTGAACTTCAACTGTGGTCTATCACCAACTTCTTCGTCGAAGGCTTTCAAGTTGATTTTGAAGACAGGTTGTTTGCAGTAGATAGTGAGTGGTGTGAACCTACATCTGTTCCCCTTCTTGATCTGATCTTGTGTCCAGTAGGCTGCTTCTTAACTTCCTTCAGATTGAGATGAAGTCGATCTGACTTCTAGCGTAGTGTGTCTGGTGTCTGGTGAAATCAAATCCATGTCACTGTCTTGTGAATATCCTTGTGTTTTCATACACACTGCCTGACTCCAATCACCAAGTCGTTGAATGTGCAGAAGTCTGCAAACACTTCTCCATTCTCATTCATCATTTCACCGAGTGCTTCTCGACTCATGATTGATTCTCTTCCTGTGTTGTCTGTGCACAGTTTGGCTGGCATTCATGTCGCCATGCCCATTGGAATTTTGATGTCGCCAACTGGTGTGCGGTCTTGTCTAGTAGTGGTTGTCTAGTAGTTGTCTGTAGAATTCCTCCTTCTTCTCTTCATCTGCATTATTTGTATGTGTGTAGCATTGAATGATTGTGACTTTGCTTCCTCTTCAGTTGAATCTTGTTGTCATGATCCTGATCCTGCAGGAGGAGATTGGTTCCCACTGCATGAGGGAGAGCCTTCGATGCTCTTGTGAGTGGACATCATGATAGCCACTCGTAAACTCAGTGTGCTTATGGTTGTCGTCTGGGTGACAATATCGGAGTCGATTGATTATTGACTCTCCAGTTGACAGTTTGGAGAGTCCACTTCCATTCCATCTGCTTTCGCAGATTCTCAGCACTTCTATGCCATATCTTCTCGTTTGTTTTGCAATCTGGACACCCTTGCTAACTTCGAACATTGTGGGGATATTCCATGTCCCCATGTTTACTTTTGCCCTCATCGAGAGAAGATGCATCGACCAATTGGCTTGCCGAAGGCTTTCACCGACCGGCGTCATTTTGTCTCCCCAATTACAGAGAGGAATAAGTTTACTTTTATTTTTGATATTTTGTTTGTGCTTTGGAGTTTTTTGAGGGGTTGAATTGGTTTTCTGGGATAGGGTTGGTAGTCCTACTCCCAACCTTCCTTCTTTACCCGGCTTAGGACTGGCTAGCAACTAATGGGATTGGTTGCCTGGGATAGGTCATATGCAAATTATCTTTTGTTGTTTATCCATGACTGCATATTTTTCTGCATTATTTCGGTGTTCACTCTTATAGATGAGCTAAAATTGTCGAATTTTTTATTTTCTCGCAATCACACTCCAGTTTCATTGTGATGCCTAATAAATTCTATTAAGTGGGTTTGATTACTGAAGAGTCTAATGTGTGAATGACCAGTCGTTAGAGTAGATCATTATTTTGTCAGTTTTCAAGTTGTTAAGGAACTCATGAGTATTTTTGATGATGGTTGACATGTATATTTGCTGAAGTTAGGTTGATGTACATTTTTTGTTTGCGATAAATAATTTGTTGTGAAAATCACGTTATTTTGATGGTGGTAGTCGACGTCATGCACTGATGTAAGCTGGAAAATCATTTAGAACAAATGAGTGGTCAGTAGATGGCATCGCTCGCACTCCACATAAAACTGGGACCAGCACTCTCCGACTTTATAAACGACACAATTCCATCCAGCGACTGGGTTGGTTTCGGAACGCTGGAAGTAATTGATAATACTAACTATGCGATCTGTCCGTAACTAGGGAGGAATAAATTTACTTTTATTTTTGATATTTTGTTTGTGCTGTGGAGTTTTTTGAGGGGTTGAATTGGTTTTCTGGGATAGGGTTGGTAGTCCTACTCCCAACCTTCACTCTTTAAGCGGGCTAAGGAGCGGCTGCTAAATTAGTAAACTAGGGGAGGTATTAGCAGCCTTCTGATGCTTATTATTTCCACAGACATGTATTGATAATAGAAGTTCCAAGTGTAGGAACTGGAAACATAATAGTGAAATTCAAAATGTAAGAATAAAAGCTGGGTCGTCCTAGAAAAGAAGTCCGGATAACTGGAAGTGGAATCTAAGCACTGCTTGAAGTGTTCACTACTACCAGATGAAATATGCCTTAACTATTGATACTCAGAAAAAGGGTGGTGAATGGGGATTGTATAACCGGAGGTTTTATTTTCCAGTGTTTATTTGGTAGAGAAAGGAATCTAGTTAATATAAAGATATAAGCAGAGTTACACAATTTCAGGAAAATACAGATGAAGCGATGAATGACGTCCAAAATACAGATGGATTGGTTACGTGACTGCTCACTCGAAGGAGTATATTAAAATCTGTTTTGTCAATTAAACAAATTTTGCAATTTGACAAGGCAATGGTTTAATTTCAAAAGTGAAAATCCAACTTTACTACTATTAGAAAGGACTAGAGGCACATCATTTATAATGAAGTTAAATATGGTCACTGAATTATCATGATTTATGCAAAAGTGATTAAAGGTCATATATTATGACGAATAGTTAGAAACTGCTGTGTTTTCCCAAAGGAAAAAGCAGCTTCCCAATGCTTCCCAGTTTTACAGTGGAACCCATGATGAAAACTTAAGGGGAATTCGAAGAAATAATTTCTGATATACTAAAGAGACTCTATATGTAGACTAAGTGAACTATGATGACAAGAAGACGATATAAGGATCATACAGTTAGTTATCTATAAAACAACTACCTCAATAACATTTTGTTGCATAGGCTGTATCCCAGCACCACCAGCTGAGCCTAAATAATTGATTTGCACATAACTATTGATTATTGTTGGAGCCACGCCTGTAGCCAGCGTAAGTGTGTGTTCATTGCCAGTGGTAACGTTGGATGTTACACCTGCACCTGAACTGGAACCTAGTTTAAACACATTCCCTGAGACTTTACTTAGTTTCATTGAAATATGATGTTGTAGTCCCGATGATGATGGAGCAGATACTGCTGTTGATGTTGACACAGGGACAGATGGACAATTTTCTTGATTAATCATGTTCCAAACAAAGCTTGGTGTACCAGGAATACGACCCCATAAATTGTTACAGCAAATGCCGCCTGATCCTGCAGCTTCACAATCAACATGTTGGGCCCAAGCAATTAAACAAGGACCCTCAAGAATTGTAGTCCAATCAGTAAGTGACGGTACAGATAACCACTGATTAGCGGAGCTTCAGGAACGAGTTGCGCAAGAACCTATAAAAATAACCAAATAGAGCAACTTAGGGTTGAACATAAAATTATGGTTAATATTCTGAGTAAGACTTTCACTCTTTCTCACTATTACCAACCTACCTCTTATCATTTTTGCAAAAAAAATGTTCCAAGGTCGAAGGTGAATATATATTTCACTTCAGAAGTAATGTGGTAAGTAACAGAAACAGTAAATCACAGTTTGGCATCTTATACAAATGAAATAAACAAAAAAATAAATGACAAGCTCATTGGATATAGAATAATTGCCACTAAGATGTAGGCAAGGCGTAATCTCCTTACGCACTAAGAACACCAGTTTTGACCACTTATTCATCTACTTAAAAAGGTACAACATGGCCACCAACAGACGCAATATACGCAATAATCTTTAAAAAAAGTTAGGAAATAAAAGTTATGTACGTGGAAGAAAAGAAGCAAAGGCAGAAAGGAATATTACAGAAGTAATCAAAGAGACATTGTCAACTTTTATTTAATTTCCAACAAATTAACAAACAAGAAAGTTACTGTATGAATACTATTGGTTTTGTGCAATATTTGTGATCATGTTAAGCCTCTATATTGCATGAATTATCAGATCGCATTGAGAGAGTGGTGGAGCATCGACATTGTTGACCCAACACAGCTTCTGTCCGAAGGTGTCATGTGTTTCTGGATGACTTTACTCAATGAATGATGACTTCCATCACACTCAAATATTCCTAAATTACTTACACAGTATTTCCTAGTGGGGTAGCTACGATTGCACAGCAAGGGTAATTGGACATCATCGAGTCGGATAAGCCAGGTTTCAGAGACATGAAGAACTGTCCATACCGGTACATTGTACGCCTGTCATTTTAAAGCCAAGCTAACGTAATGACGGTGCCATTTTGTTTTAGGTGAACAAGATCAAAAGGAAGGAAGTGAATAACAAATGAAAACGATATATTATATATCCATACCAAGATCGCCTTGCAGCCATTCTTTGCGAGCTGGCTTGACTTCCAAATGAAATATTAGTCATGTAAGAGCTAATTACAAGCAGCGTCGCGGTAAGGTCATAAACGACGAAAACACAGATAACATCACAACTGATTGATGATGAGCCTATTCAGCAGTAATATATTTCAGGTGAACTACTCCCTTTACAAATAATGTATAGAACAATGATTAAATATTTGTTGCTACAAGTTTGTCACACTGAATATCGATGAACTAAACAGTAAGAATTTCCCACGAGAATATGTTGGGTTACAGTGCTAACAAGGTGAACCGAGAGGAATTGAAGGTCATCAAGTAGTAAGGTCATTATGTCTTAGCTGATAAAATTTGATAGTTAGTAGGGATGGTATCCGATACGTTATTACATTCGGAAGCATAACCCCTGATTATCAGTTTATCAATCAACACTATGGTATGCAGTCTAATTGTTCTAACAAGCTAACTGGTTCGATTCTATTTAAGCTACCTCAGACTAAAAGGAAAATGATGAAAAGTAATAGCAACTTCTTCCTGACGTCAACAAGAAGAAAACGATTTTGTGATAAGCTGTAACTAATCAAACAAATGAAACACATGCAAAGTTTTAAAATCAACTATAAAGGTCAACCTAACCTGAAACCAGTGTGGAGATCTACTGCACTGCACTGCACTGCACTGCACTCAGCGTAAATAACATGATCCGGATTTTCAACACTAATGTCAAGTAAGTCAGTGTTTCTATATGGTTCAGAGACTTGGCGTGTTACGAAAAGCATTTGCAACAAACTACAGACATTGATCAACAGCTGCTGCCTACCCTCACTAGATACTGAAGATCAGATAGTCAGAATAATAAGAATAAGCAACAAGGAACTCTGACTGGCTGGCAACGAACCAACCAAGAACCTATCGCCCAACAAATATACAGAAGAAAATGGAGGTGGATTGGGAATACACTGAGAAAGCTGATTGGGGACATCACGCGCCAAGCCCTCGAGTGGAACCCAAAGGGGAGACGACAAGTTGGGCATCCGAGGGTGACATGGAGATCATGTGAGGAAGAAATGAAAGCTAATGGGAAGTCGTGGAGTCAGGTTGAAAAGACTGCAGAGAACAGAGTGGAATGGAGACGTGCTACTGAAGCCCTATGTTCCACTAGGAACCCAAGATAAATAATAGTAACAATAATAACTATTGAGACAACCAATGAGATTTCCTCATTGCATAAAGAAGTTAATTTTGGAGACGAAATATAGAATCCCGATTATGTAATTGACTCCAAGTTAGATAATTTGCCACATAGTTCAATTTCATAAACAGCATCATAAAATAAATTACAGACTGGCCACTAAGCTTCACAACACTAGCATGCATAGAGCAAATTGGTATGAAAGAATATAGACGAGGAAACGGATAGGAAAATTAAGACTAGTGAAAATGTTTAAAGCTTTAGAAGTTATCAGAGCGCGAGTACATTGGTGCCACTGTGACCGATTTTCAATCATGTCATCAAGGGTTGTCATACACTGATTCCTATCGCCTCGACTACACAGCTCAGAACAACAACCAGAGACTTGATAGATTGCAGCCACAACTTGGTCAGGCCACCTTGAGCCTTCAGGCGACACAGTCTTATTTTGATCAACATCGAACGTCGAGGTAGGCGACCGCTCAACATGAACAACACATCTCCAAGCCACCACAGTCGCTGAGGCTTTACAACTTCAGCTATTGACTTTGTATCCTAGCATACTACCCTTCGCCTCATCTCAACATTCCTAGAAGAGCGATACCACCATAAGCGAGCAGTGCTGTAAAGACACTGGGGTTTGAAAACTTGTAATCTGTTGATATCTTCAACTTGCAACGGCCAGGCTTCACGGCCATAAGACAGGACAGCGCACTATACCTGTGTCAGTAAATAGACAATCGAATTTCTTGCTGGTGACAAAAATGGCGCAAGTTGGCGATTTTCAAACGGATTTTCTGCACCCAAGCTACGACTTCGTGAACAATCAGCCCTTTTGAGCTGATGCAATCCCCCAAGTAATTCGTACGCATATGTGTTCACATGTTCAGTAGCTGAAAGAGATTTATGTGACTACGGAGCTTGAGGTCTGCCTTAGACAGCCTTTTGAGGATTATTTTTTTAAGACTAGGTTGTTTAAACACTGGACAAGAAAAAATACACCATCGGTACCGAAAGACTACAGAGCAGGAAAAAGTGACATCGTTTGAGTACCAATCTTTTCCAACTATCCATGGAAAGGAATATAGCATCGGCATGGTACAGATGGTCATCCGCTGGAGATACCTTAATGCTGTCATATTCCATGCCGCCTGCAATACAACTTCGCCCTAGGATCCCCATCAAAACGTAGTAATCTACACTAAAACGGTAACTGTTACCTTTTTGGCGTGATAGGACCTTAGAGAACAGGTTTCCCAGAAAGTGTATCTCGTCAGGTAGTCGTGATATGCCAGCCCGGCAATCACGTCAGGGTAGCGGCTATCGGTTGGGAAGCTCGACCAGGAAAAGTTACTAACTAGTCATCACAAGGTTTATCATTTAAATAAGCTACTTAGCTATAAACGTGAAACAGCATCCTAGAATAAGATAGGAATATATTAGGCGAAACCAAACTAGATAATACAATATATGGTTTAAAGAAGGTTGAACGTACAGTTTTCTTGGCCAAATAACATTGAGACCATAGCTTTAAAGCAGCTGCAACAATTTCTCCAGCATAATCACAATCGTCACTTCTGAAATTAAACTGTTCATCGCCTTCGTATATTTCTTTTTCCTCTCCATGCTGTAGATCTGTTAGATTTGAAGATAAATAATCAGAAGGTAAGTTTGTACCATCATTGGCTGTTGACTCGCTTGTAATAACTTTAGTGATTTGATTAGTTGTTACTCCTTGTTGCTGTGATAATGATGTTGTTGTTTGCTGGTGTGTTGTCATTGTAACTGCCACTGATGAGGCTAATGTTCCATCGTCAATATTACCATCTAATTCATCAAATCCAAATGTTGTGTGATAGTAATAATTCACAGATGATTCGACTGAAATATCATTCAAACTGTCATTATCATCACCATAATTTTCATCCTGTATATCAGATTTAATAGCACACACGGTAGCTGAGGTTATTGAAGATATTTTACTTAATGTCGTCGATTTATTTGTTATTGTAATCGAAGTATCAGTCATATTATAGGCACCATTTCTATTGGGTTCATTTAACGAATCAGTTGAATTAATAAGTGAACTAGACATGCTGGAAATTCAGGATCTTCATTAATTGGATCAAATATCATTGGTATTTGATCATGATGATGATGATGTTGAGTGTGACGAAGAAGCAGTTGGTCAATTTCAAGACAACCACCAACATTTGTATTCAATCCATCTATTGATCTTCTGTTATTATTTGAACTGCATGTTATCAATGTATTGTTTAAACGATTCAATAAGTTTAGTGTTTGTATTTGATCCATTTTTGTTAGAATTGGACGAGAAAGTTGATAAAGTATAGTACGATTTAAACTACGATATAATGAATGAATTGTAAATTTGCTTGCCAATAAATTGTTGCTGCTATTATTATTATTATTATTATTAACAGTAGTAGTAGTAGTCGAAGTATTACTATTAACTAAATTATCTAATTTACTTGATGACAAATTATTTGTTGTAGCAGTAGTGAAAGTACTAGTGGTCGACTGATCTGGCCAATGGGTGATAAGGTGAATTAGAAAATTTACTACACGATTAACTTCTTTACTAAAGCAACCCTGTAAAAATTATAACAAAATCAGTGTAGAGGTAGATAAATTTTAAAATAAGTACTTGTAAAAAGTGACAAATACTGACATTTTAATGGGAAGTGAAATAAAATCCGGAGATATTTTGTCACTCTACTTCAGACTCACCGTTGGTACAAGTCAGTTAAACCAATAACGATTTTCAACACCGATAACACATGAACATATCATACACGCCTTCGAATGTCATAGCATCATCCTGCACTATACTGTGATATCAGCTTTCGATAAGATTTTCTATTAACTCATCACTCATTCATTTGAAATACTATAAAATCGTTCACTAAAATAGAGTAGAAAATATTACTCTTGATAACTACTAGAATATGCATTTCGCAAAATTAAGTAAGATGAATCTCCGTCGAAACAGTAGATTGGTGGACTACATTTTTTAGCACAGTAACATCAAGAACCATACTAAACAGAATGGTAAAAGTAATCGGAACTGACTAGTGTCTGATGTTTTCTGTGAAGATACAGTAATGATTCAATCCATAATAATTACCTTGTAAACCGCGACATCCTAATTATTAATTGAATCACTCCATAACTGTAATCTGTTTTCATAGTCAAAATAACAGTTGACCAATTTGCAGTGAACTTTTTCAACATTTTGGATGGTACTTGAGAGATTGTTGGAAAAACAAAATCAAAACATATACCCTGAAAGTTACAAATAACTAAATAATCAAGAGAAACACGCTAGTAATGATCACATGATGGACAATTCAGGCTAGCAACGCACTGCACATTGGGTTCCGATCTATGACGACAAGAACACAATTCAAGTTAGCACAATACTGACAAAAGTTCTTCAAAGTACGTATGGATAGTATATTTGAAATGTATTTCTACACTATATAATCCAATTAATAGTGGGATTAATACTTTTTTGTTTTGAAGAGTTGACATTTTATGAAAGTCTAGTGAACTAATATAAGTTATAGATTACCAGTGATCAAACAAGTTAGACACTATACATATACCAACAAATTATATAAAGGCGTATCATGATTATAGATCGATGAAGTATTTGGTAGGGCAGTTACTCAATGATTTGGATGTACAAGTGCAACAATCTCCGGGTCATACGTTTAAACGCACTTCATCTAAATTGATCTTGACGACTGAATAGTGTGGCAAAGCCATACATATTCAACATAAGACCTGTAGCTCATATTATAATAGATTTATTTGTATGCAGTTGTTGAACTGCATTACATTGAAATAAATGACGACCTGAATGATGATGAGTTTCTTGTTGTCTATTAGACAGACAGATAAAATCAATATGGAACCTTGCATACAAGTGAATCAGGTCAAGTTGCCACACTACACAGTAGTACACAAAAAACATGTGGACAGCATAAGAGCGATATCATAGCAGACAAAGTAGTGCAGGAAAATAGGCAATTTGAAGATAGAGGTTAGAACAAATACTCAAACTTTAGAAGACGTCCAAGAGTGAATACATCTGCGCCATTGTAACCGATTTCCACCCACGTCACCAGAGTCCTCAACTACTGACTCCTTTTGTCTCAGGGTCCCCAGCCATGTAATCTATATCTCTCCACAAGGCTCGGATCAACGGTCAGGGACTTCACCGACTGATACCATGTCTTGTTCTGGTCAACCTGAACCGTCTGCCAACCTAATCCAACTTCCTCTAGCACTTCACATCGAGGTAGGCGATGGCTCGGCATGAGCAGTACATGTCCAAGCCATCTCAGCCGAATAAGGTTCACAACCTCATTGACTGATTTGGCTGTATAATAGGTAGGATCGTATAATTATTATAATCCTACCTGCTATCGAACACCATCTGGATAAATAAAATACTCATTACCTCAAGACAAACGAACGTATCTAAGTATAACTAAGACTGTGGTAAGTGTTTTCAAAACTACAGAGTATTCACAACACCATGAATATTCCTAATAATATAGAGCCTTTAATAATCAGCAACCTGTAGAAGCATTGTCTAGACTAATAGGTAGAATTCTTTTACACAGCTGACATTCTTCAAAATAACCTAATAACAAGAATCTTATTGTTAGACCCCGGGCAAAATTAGACAGACTTAAAAGGATGATCATTAGATGCCATTCACCAAAAGATAATCTTGACAAATTGTGGCTCAAGGTTCTTTATTTGCCTACCCCCTAAGACTCTCCAGTTCACGCTATTAAGCTTCTACAAGCATATATCTCAAAAGTATAAGTAGTATTACACCACACTTCCCCCAGTATCATTCAATGATGTCTTTTTTTCAATTTCAGTTTTGACATGCTGTCGTCTAAGGGTAAGTGAAAAATCAGGAAAAATGTGCTGAAAGTAATAGTAAAGGGGATAAAACAATAAATTATACCTTTTGGAATAGAACGTCATCTTCTTCATTGCTTACACCTTAATATCATTTTGTCTGTCACATTACAGTAAGCTTGCATCGTCATCAGTAATCAACATCTACATGTATTCGTCTTCAGAAAAAATCTGTTATTATTTAGACGTAATTTTGAACTGTTTCGTCGAAATTATAACGTGTATGAGCAGTGTCCATCACACCGAAATTATACCTAGCAAATATGAGCACTCATTTTAGCTCACAAGCAATCACGAACCAGTATTTTCAAACCAATCTAATTTGGGTTGGGAAATATCAACGTTACCCAATAAAATAATGACAAGCATTATACTGCGAAAAGGTGAACACTTAAATATACTAAAATTCAACACGCCAAAACCCATGAGATAAATGATATGAAAATAAGCAACTTTTTAAAATACCTGCCATAATTTGTCAACAATACGAGCAGAAAAGTAGATTAAATTAGCTGGAATATACTGAATATTTCCATTGGGTCCAACGCATAATGATCCATCATTGATGATATCTGTAGCTAAAAAGTGATCCATTAGATTGCATAAAATCAATGTTTGTAAATTCTGATGCTGTTTTGAACTACACTGATCAGACCATGCCTGATTAAGTGTGTATGCGTCAGAGTAGAAACAGAAAAGAAATAAACCGAAAACGATGTATGAATTAGATACTGAAATCATAAATAAAATGGAATTTTCAAAATGTACCTTGATTATACATGAGCAGTAAGACTGTCGTCTTCAATGGTGTACATAAAACTGTCATGGAAATGATTCAATCAAATATCAAGCAAGAATCAATGCTACTTTTTAAATGCATTATAACCACCAAATAGCATACAGATAGTTTTAAATGGATTCTTTTAACAATCTTATTATCTTACACGAATAATCGATATCTCTACAGAGGCAATGAAAAATCTTCATGTTAAGCGAATTCAATTTGAGATAGCTTTTCAAGATGGCTGTAACTAATCGATTATCATTTTTCTACAATATTTGATAAAAATGTTTAGTCTGATTAACATATTCGTTAATCAGTGAAATTCTAATTTCAGTAGTACTCTATAAATGTAAATATGCTTTTTGGATAATTGAAGTCTAGATAGATATTCATCGAAAGAAGTCTTCACGTTTCATACGCAGATTTATACTAGTATGTGACGGTGGAAAACTCATTAGATGGATTTGTGTCTTGTTGGATAAATTAGAAAAAGTTACTTGTTTTCCCATTATAATTTTGCATGATACTTGGCGGTGAGTGAAACGTTTTGCGTCCCTAAACCGTTGTCATAGGTACTGAGCGCATTCAGTATCATTACTTACATTTCAATCCAATCAGTCATCTAATAAAAATTCGATAACAGTAACAATAATATATGCTTTATTCCAGACTAAATGTGCTGAAGCACATGTTCTCAGAGTACTTTTATTCCACGTTTTGGCTGAGTGCTTGCTTTTGTATATTCGATTCTTAGCTCCATCCTCCGTCAATGCTTTATTTAAACAAATTAAGGTGAAAAAAATCAAAAAGCTTATTTTTTTCTACAGTTATCCACATTTTGACAACGGTTTCCTATACTTCTAACTTCGCTTCTTCATACTGATAATAATTATCATCCAAGAAAAATAATTAGAATTCTTAATTTAGAAATAGAAAAATTTTAAGTGCTTAGATTTCTGTCAATCAATCGAATGGAGAAAAAAATGTAAATTTTCTTTCGTGTACACTTGATCAAAAATCAAACTGGTGCTCTCTATCATAGTTATGTAGAAAGAATTCGCCATCTGTTAGGCAATTATAATAATTGACTAATACATTCGTTTGAAGTTTAGATTATTCTTCCCTGTCAACATTACGTTAGGATTGTTACCATTATTAGTTCCGTTAAAAAGGTTCAAAAAGTTGGCCATCTATAACACATAACCAATTCATCTGCAACAGACATATCAACATTTCGAAAAGTTTATTAACCGATTTTAGGTGATTGCATTTACATAAACTTCCGCCGAGTTTAGGATTGTTTTCTCCAGTCAATAACTGATTCGAGGATGTGTTAACGATAAGCTAACGTTAAGGGCCACCTCCATGTGTGTTCAACAATTCACCTGCACTTGTGGAGCTGATTACATAGGCCGCACAAAGAGTGTTATATCCAAACGCATCACCAAACACTATCCTGCAAAGCCATAAACAGCTAGATTCTTGAGCACTTGTTTTACTCTGATCACTGCGCCCTACAACAATCTCTCAAAGTCATCTATAAGGTGAAATCAGATATTTGGAAGGGAGTACACATCCGCCATCTCAACACAGTAGAGGCTTTGGCAATCCGACGATTCAACCCTGATCGTTGTGTCCAAAAGAGATGCATTCAATCTCTAGATTTCCTTCGGTCATAATCTCAAAGAAATTATTTTGAAGGTAGTGTTCATCATGGACTAACATCATTTGGAGAGCCACTGAAAACCTGGGAGAATTGGACAGGTGTTTTGTCCCAGTACGCACCGACGACTCCGCCGGGGATCGAACCCAGGGCCTTCACCTTTCACGGCGAACGTGCCAAACATTCAGCCACTGGGTTGGGTGTCAGTGGTCCACAGGTTTCTACTTCTGTTCATCTATTGTAATCATATATGCAATTTTTGATGACCTTCAGTTAACCGTTTTTGGTGATTTTGCATAGATGAATACATATTTTGTTGTAACTATGGTTAGCATTGTACAGCTTTTGAAAATGATTCGTCGGAAAGAAAAAAATTTTCGCTTAGATGATTTCTGTTAACTTTATGTTATTAGCACATTGGTGTTATTAGTGCATACGAAGTTTATCGTGTGAACACATATTCATAATCGTAAGCATCATCCTCATTATTTCATGAATGCAACATTACAAAGCGTTATATAGGAGACTACTAACGACAAAATTGCCGAGGGTCATTCATATGCAGTAGACTGGCAAAACAGATCTAAGAGAGGGAAATAAGAATTTCAGACAAGCACTACTAGCCGAACTTTTTAATTTATTTTAACAAATATTTTACTCAGGACTCATCTTACAACATTAAGGAGTAGTTGAGTTCAAGAACTTTTCATTGATTCCTCAATGATTTCGGTGCATCTCAGGGTTCCAAGATAACTGCATGCCCAGTGAAATCAATTATCGCGCCATTCAACTTATGTTTAAAATCAGCTACTTCATTTTTATGATCTATGGTGCATTGTGAACTCGTATTTCAGTAGCATAGATATGCATGAATCAGATAACATACACCAGTATAGAGTAAGAATTAGAATTTATCTCTTGTAGCAAGGAGGCAGGTTAGAAACAAATCATGTGAGAAAAATTGTAGTGTGACACTATGTAATTACCAACTACTAAAATAAGCAATAAGGTACATTAATTTTATTTTTTTAAAAAGATACCTTTCCAGCCGAAACAGATAAATCTATGATCATTTAGCGGTTGAAAAGGTACACTCTGGAGGCATTGAAAATTGTGTGCAAGTAGTAATTATACACAGGATTTATCACGTGCTAAGTCAGAATAAGAAGCGAATCACAAAATTGAGCGGCTCTAAAGGCTATCCTAGAAACTGAAGAAGTAACCAATCAGGTTTCGGCATTTTTGCTGGGGACGGAGGTTTTCATAAAATAAAGACCTGTAATTGGTTATCTTAGCAGTTTTTACGATGGCTATCAGAGCTACTCATACAATTGTTGCTCAGGAGTTGTAATTAACGCCACGGATAATTTAAATTCAAGGAGCTGTCATTTTCAATGGTATGTGATTCAAACCTGAAACTAGATGGTGCGAACATTGTACATCCTATACGATACATAACATTTACCGACCTGTTCAGTATAACTGCATGATTGCATACGACAAAGAAAAGGTTCAGAATATATAAAACTGGTAATGGAAATTCACACAAAAAAGACGAGGCGTATACTGACGTGAATTGACTACTGATGATGACTAGTCCTAAAAACATTGAAGTTGCCTATGAGAATGCGGATTGGTGCTGAATCAACATTTTCTCACCACCAGCACGACAGAACTATCAACTCGTTAGGAAAGTATATTTGTATATATATATATATATATATATATATATATATATATATATATATATATATTTGAAATGAATGTTTACACACAATAATAAGTTCTTTTTAACGTCAGCTATGATCATAATAATTGCTGAAGTTCCTTATTCACATATTCACAGTAAGTTATCATATTCAGTGTTTTCACTGAGGAACTTAGACATTTTTATTGGTAACAATGTTCCATGTTTGATATTATTGGCTAGCAGTGGGATTCAAGACGCGGGTCTCGTCCTATTTAAGAGTCGTAGGCTTGATGTACTTGACTCCAAGTGAGTGATTTTGTCATCACTAAGTCCCGAACTCAGGAACAATCGCGTCAAATGCAAGAACATTATCCACTAGGCCATTCATTTACCATAGCCATTGTTTGTGAGACAGGCATAGTATAGTTTTGATGATATAGCATGTGTTCTCTTTGCTAGCCACTATCCATCATTATTATCAAAAGTGAAACTAAAGACAAAATCGAGGCATCACCACAAAAGTCCATATTGCTAGTAGTGGTTGATTAATTGGGTCCAATCAAACAACGGAGATTCAAAAGCTTTACCATCAAAACTATATTCAATACTGCTGATAGTTGTGTTCACTCACCATTCTTGCATGTGTAAAGAGTGACATGTATGCATATGAAATTTGGCATCAATTTCTATTTCCTACTGAAGTTGTAATGGAAGCAATATCCCAATCAATATTATTGTTTTTAGCTCATGAATGAGATGTTATCAATTACTTTCTTTGGATTTCTATATTATTTCACCAACATTGGGTGATGATTGTAGGTGAAATGAAAACTTGGGTCACAGCAGGATTCAAACGAGTGGCTTCCAAGTATCACAAATGTTCATTCAGTTTGACTTTCAGTGATCTCGACGTTTGTCTTACATAGTTAATCGGAGTGTCAGCATAAGGTATTTTATACATAACATTACTTTGTTCAGTTTCCTTATCGGATCTTTTAGCTGGCTTAGTTAATTTCTAGAAGTTAGTTCATTCAAACTGTGATCGAAGATCTGCTCTTTTGAGATTTCATTACATTCCCTCCGACATACTTTTCTAATATAGCAATAGTAGTCCTTGTATATACATCTTTCTTATCCATTTCAGCTTGTGCTTTCAGTGTTTTCTTCTTCTTGAAATTATCTATTGAGTTTTCCGATAGGGATTTCTGAAAAACACTTCGAATAAAATGTTTCTTTCTCTTTAGTGATCACTAGCGCATATTGTCAGACTACGTGTTCTACTTTTCCGACTCTGAATTGATCCACTTTTCACACTGTGTTGAATGGTAGTCCAGTAATTTTCTTGAGTGAATGGGTTTTCTAAAGATAGCAATTTTTAAACTGAAATCTATTGTTTTCAGAATTCAAAGTCAAACTAATTTAAAAACTAAAGGCAGCTAAAATTAGTGAAGAGCAGACACTAGTTAGTTTCGATATAAGCCACTTATATATGGAGACAAGATCGAACAAGGATGATGATTTAAAAGAATGAACACAGTTATCTGTGCAAGATATATTGAAAGGTGTAAAATTCTTTGAGCGAATGCTCCAAGTCTTCTGTGAATTTTATTCGATTACAGGTGGATAGAAGCGTAAAACAGGACTCGCGTCTCGTCCTATTTACAACTAGCCAGCTGGATGTACCTGAATCCCAGTGGATGATAGTGCTAAATGTACAAAATGAAAACAATCTGTGAAACATGCATAGCTGTAAATGTGTGAATAGGTAATTCTAAGGACTAGTGTGATCACGAATAGTAGTTTTGCTAGAAATAACCAAAGATTAAAAATATTCAACACAAATATATTTATGATAAAATGATTCCTAGTATAGCAATAGTATATCTCAGTCAATCAGATAGGCAGGTAGGAGTTATCATGCATGGTCATGTACACGCGAAAAATCATCCTGAGTAGTGATGTCACAATGAAATTTACACTTGCTAGTGAGAAAGCGTGATACAAGCGTGATATTGAATCAATTAGAATACTACAATTAATACAAATCATCAATTCATGAACGGTTCAAAACAAAACAAAAACCACTGCCATATATATATATATATATATATATATATATATATATATATATGATAAGGATGACGAAAACAGTTCATCACATACTTCTAATAGTATATCCACAATATGTGTAGGCTGATGATATGATGGATGCAGTGCGAAACTGTCTGACACAATCAGCTTAATAAAATCCAATGTAATCTGATAAAATGGATTTCGTGAGCAATAATTTGATGAGGATGATGGTAATAATAATGATAACAACATCTGATCTTTGAAATTTTCATGACTTGAAGACTGCGAAGAAGAAAGACAAATAAAATAATAAACCATTTTTACTTAAGAAATAACTCAGAAAAAATACAATATCGATGTAGAAAAATTAGTGAAATAAAAACATACAACCAAAAAGCAATAAATGATATTTTCAGTGAACTATTTATCCTACATATGAAGTATATATAGATAGAGTGCATGACTATTTCTTCTCTTTACCAAAAAAAAAAGTGAATATGCTGAAATAATCAGACATGAGCAGAATAAAAACATATTTATAATTGCTACAGATACAAAAGTGGTAAGTAAGAGCATGGTTATACTATTATCAAACTAATCAATTGCTCACAAACCTCCAAATACAATAAGAATCTGTTTGTCAGTGACTTGCTCCCTGAGAAGCTGTGAACTCCAAAATCGGCCAATCCGGCAGTGAGGATAAATACTCACCGACAGTCGCGCTACGCAACGAACTGACAAGAGTTGAAAAATGTGGGCCATTGAATTTCGGATCCAATGATTGAGTTGTAACGTGGTCACCCTAAGACTTGATGGTCCTAAGCTCGACTTCTCGTCGGGTCATGGATACGCACTACTGAGACGTCCTAGACTACGATACATGCTGTATCTAGAATTGACGGGTCTCCGAAGTGTCCAAGAAAGTATACTGGAGAAAAGTTACTGAGTCTTACTCTGATTCTTTGTATCATGTGATGAAGGTCTGGTAAATAAAGGTTTCAGTCTCCCGGACAAGTAACTTTCACCTCAGGACAAATATCTGAGGGGGAATGTTAGAACTTTTATTAGTAGTTAGGAAATGACTCTTAACATGCTTCTGCAACGATATACCTATCTATATAAATAGTTCCACGTTAAACATTGAAAGATGTTTAAGCTTCAAGGCAAACTGTAAGTGTACAAGATTAGATGCAGAAACATCTCCATTTACACATGGGATCTGATTTTTCACAGAAAGGATTTACATAAACCCTTCTTCAACACTCTATCTTCTACAAACAACATATGTCTACAACTCATATACAAGAATATTAGAACAATAATCCACGAACGAAAAGATGTGCTTCGTTGCATTTTTCTTGTACCTGAAAACTGATCAGCTCCTGTGCATGAATACCTAGAATGATTAAAATGATGCTTATTTAGGAGGAGGAACTGGAACTGAACAGTTGGAAATCCACTCTATTTGCAGTTTTCCAACAACAGATATTTAGAATGATAAACCATGTCAATCTGTTTATAATTTTACGTTGAAAAGATTAGGTAAACCAAAACATGACCTAATCAAACTCTGGACCTCATTTAGTAAACAATATATGTGCAGGTAAAATGCAGACTTTTATGTTATTACAGGCCTTTTAGCTGTCAATTGAACTAAAAGTATTTTCCTTGAAGTTTACGATCAATCTAAAGTTTTTCCGTAAAGATTAGCTACAACCACGCGTAATTCCATTGCAATGCATTAATCACTTTACGCTTTCGAACACAACTGTCGGAAATCAAGAGCTTTTTTAATGTATCACAGCGAAGATAATTGTATTCATCTCATTTTTAATTTCTACATCGGTCTACTTCAATTGATCTTCGTCTTCTGCGTGTTGTTAAGACGTGATACACTGAATAAATATTGTTCAACACTAAACTCGATGCTGTTTTGTCTATCTGGGTCTGTCAAAGGTGACTTGTTAACTGTTCACTATGCAACAAATAATTCGTAAAATATGTGGCACGTTTTGTTTACACGTGACTGTCTTACTTTACCAATTAATCATAATTCTGCAGTAAGCTGTTCAGTTTACTTTAGTAGTATCGTTCAAAATACAGTTGAGAAACCTTCACCATTCAAGTGTACAGCGACTCATAAGAACTGATCTCCCTGTTTAACCGTCCATTTGGAATTCAGAGACTTTGGGATCATTTCTCGATACAACTCCCACATTGGTAATACTTTAGGTTTTTGTTTGAACTTCAAAATGCAGCTCTTAACAAATTTATTAGTTTACCGCAAGGGTTAGGTAATGAAATAAAAAACCGATATGGAACTTCTATATCGTGAATCATTCTTCGAACAATATAAAATATCGAAATGAAAATTGTTCTCACAACGATTTATAATATTCGTTGCAGTGCTATTCAAAAAAATGGAAGGAAGTATTCTGAGAGTCACTGAAACACTTCATAATAAAATGCTGCTTGCCATTCCACCACCAAATATATAAGAAGAACTTTGTGTTTCCGAATGAATTAAGATAATGCTAATGAAAACTCAGAACCACATTTTTTCAGTGTGAAACCCAGCAGTTTACATTTCGAGATCAAGGTCTTTTAAATATGACCTCCATACCAAGCATTCATTGCAAGTTCTTAAAGATGATCACTGAAAGTTTAAGCGTAAACGTAAGCAGTTACATGTATCTTCCAGAAGATTCGAACCCAAGTCGTCCGCATCAAATAAGAAAGTGACTCTAAGTAGAAGCAGAGAAACATCGCAATGACGATGGGCATCCAGACGAATAAATGAACATCAGGTTCGTCTACGACTTTACACTTCACTCCCCACCAGACTATCAACAGATAGTAAATCCACCTAACTTCAAATGTCACTTTCACTGAATCAGTCAGCTGCAAATTACTGGGGAAGTATACGGTGACACCACGACAGCAGTACCTGATGCAACATAACAAGTATCTCTTAATTAAATGAACAGAAAATTTTAAACTATTAAGCCTCGCCTGCAACAAAATTAGGACCTAAAGAAAAATCGCTTGTTTAAATGAGCGAATACATACGTCAGAAACTATGCCTACAAACGTCAGGTAACTTAAAAGAGAGTGATGTACTTCTCTGACAAATGAGCATACTGCTTTGAAGTGAGAAATGAGCCAAACTCATAGGATTCATGAATCAAAATTTTCTCTGAATACCGCCGATGCAAATACTGAGTGATCAGAAGTTTAGCACATGTAAAAAAGTGTAAACAGAACCACAATATCAAGCCTATTAGATTTGCGCAGTTTTTCTGGTGTTCCTAAGACAATGGTAAAAAAGATGACAGGCAATTAGTTCCCCTAGCGGCTAAGGAATTTCGAAAAACAAAGGCTATATAACATTTGAGTTCACAGTAGAGTTTCTGTAGATACACTATTGAGTGTTCTTTTGAAGGAAAATGACATCAAAAAAACCAGCTTAAAATGTCAACTATGGGTCAAATAAGTTTCACATCCACCAGTGAAATACTTTAATGAGTATAAATCAGCATAACGCACACGAAAGTGAAAATAGACAGAATCAACCCTCGCACACAAGTGTATCGGTCCAAGTTGCCACACTTCACGGAAGCATGAAAAAGACTGATATCAAAGTGGACAAAAGTATATCAGAGAAGAGTGAATTTAAAATGAAGGTTAGTCAAAGGATTCATGCTTTCAAAGACGTCAAAGAGTGAATAAATCTGGGCCATTGTTGTCGATTTACCGCCATCTCAAGTTTATCAGCACAAAGACAAACAGTCAATCTATATTAACTAAGAAACACTGGGAGGAAGTCGTAGAATTGAAGAACAACAAGGGGATTAAATGCTGCGTTCTGATAAAGGGACTCGTGTTGCTCTGATGAATCGCCAAGAATACATCAACAAAATGTTATCGATCCTTTCTGATGAAAAAAAGTTTATCAAACCTATCGGCGAGAAGAATAAGACGGAACAAACTGGAAAACAACTAACCGATATTCTCCGAAAATTAATGACCGGTTCTTTCATAAATTCCAAATTATTTGAATCCCTACGACCATCTGGATCAAATATCGCCCGACTGTACGGACTGCCAAGAGTGCACAAAGAAGGCATACCTTTGAGACCTATTCACAACATGACGGGATCACCGTACCAGCGTATTGTCCAGTGGTTAGTCACAATCTTGGAGCCTATAAGAGGGCAAGTTTCACTTCATGCAATTTGTGACTCCTTTCATTTGGTCAATTTTATAGATGATGTAAATTGCTCTGACAAAATCCTGTTCTCTATAGATGTGGTCTCATTGTTTACAAGTATCCCTTTGACTGAGACAATATGTTACATATGTGACTATATTGATTCTAATGGATTGAATATTGGGATACCCACACATTATCTTGAGGAGCTGTTGTTCAGATGCACCTTGAACGTTCAATTTTCCTTCAATAATGAAATATATAGACAAAAAGATGGCATAGCTATAAGTTCACCATTGGGACCCTTGTTTGGAGATTTCTTTATGCCAAAGCTAGAGAACATACACCTTAGCGGAATCATCAACCAGTTCGATTTTTATAAGCGATACGCAGATGAAACCTTACCTTCATCATCTTCAATAGTACGGATAACCTAGAAGATATCCTATCTCAATTTAAAAACTGTCACCCCTCAATCAGACTAACATTAGAGAAGGAACTTAATTCTAAGATATCCTTCTTAGACGTGGAGTTAAAAAGACGAGACAATGGATTACTCGAAAGATTTATCCACAGAAAATCCACATGGAATGGACAACTCACAAATTTTCATAGTTGACTGCCTCTATGCACCAAAAAACATTTAATTCGCTCCTTATGTCATAGGAGCTATCTGCAGTCCGGATACTTTGGAAGATGAACTATTTTTTTTTTCAGAAATGTTCTGATTGGAAATTGGTATTCTGAACGTTTCATCGCTTTAGCGACGAAATTGAAATCAAATAACGATTCCGCCCCCTCGGCTCCTAAGAAGCTTCTTTTCATGAGCTTACAGTACAATGGAGACACATCAGCAGATATATTAAAAAACCATCTGACACGCTCATTGAGAAAGACTTTCTATGCTGCCAAACTCAGACTAGCTTTCTCCACTTACCCAATGCTTCGATTATGTGCAAAGGATAAGCTAGCTCCCTTGGCCACCTCGATGTGTGTTTATCAATTCACCTGCTTCTGTGGAGTAAGGTATATTGGCCGTACTCAGCGTTCGCTTCCCAAGCGCATTTCTGGACAAGTGCCAGCCTGGTTCTACAATGGGGAAAGGAGAAGAATTCACAGCTCTATTCTAGAACATCTGATCGATTATGACCACCCGATAAGTGCAGAAAACAGCTTTGGTGTCATCTACAGAGTTCGCACAAATCTCACGAAAAATGTATACCGAAAACTCCTTTAAACTGCGGAAGCCATAGCAATTAATATTTTGAAGCCTGAACTCTGCGTTCAAAAGAAATTTGTCCAGTCACTTAAGTTGCAATGAAAATAACCTATAAGAACATTTCTACTTTCAAAAACCTCTTGATTTAGATCCTCTCACCCATTACGTTCCTCCACACCTACAATTCTAATTTCTCTGTGCATTTGCCATGTTACATCATTTACGCTAGTAGTAACCAAATATTAGTCCGATCTTGGTAAGTCTTCTTCTCATTACTATTTCAAACATTACGTAATTTCTCTTGTAATCTGATTTTTAATAAAATCTGAACTCCGTTCAAAAATATTTCACGAAACATTTTTCTGTTACAATGTGATGGTACAGCTTGAGAATGATATTGCTGAGAAGAGTAACTCTTCGCTAAACGTTTTTTGTTCTATTTCGTCAACAGTCCAAAACCGCTGATTTATATCGTCTCGAAAACCCCAACACAGCAGTCGACATCTCTCTACACACCTCAAAGTAACAGTTAGGGACGTCATACACCGGTCTAGTCACCCTGAGCATTCGTCAAACCTAATTCGACCTTTCCTAGCATGGCGCATTTATATGGGCGATGACTCGACTTGCGTCCCACATGCACAAGCCACCTCAGTCACTGAGGGTTAACAACCTAATCGACCAACTTGTCTGTCTTCCTGATAACCTTCACCTAAACTCGACATCCCTGACAAGATGACTAAACCAAACGCGAGCAATGCCACGATGAAATCTATGGTCAAAACTAGCAATCTCTTCATATCTCCTACCTTCAACAACTTTCTTACAACCCCATAACAGAACAGAAGAGGACTACAGGACGGCTTACTTGTAGTTTAGTAGGTAGACGTGTATCTCGGAAGTCGTCAGTAGAGATGACAAAGGTTAGCAAATGCCAACACGAAAGTGAAAAGCGCTTCGGACTAGCAGTTACCATTGAAACACCAGACATTATCGTACCACCAGTCTATCTTCTAAAAAGGTATTATGGTGTGCATGATAATGTGAAGGTCCTTTGAAAAGCCAGAAATCGTTATATATATATATATATATATATATATATATATATATATATATATATATATATATAACCGATGCTTTGAAAACGATAAGACATTTGTAAACTATTGACCATAATTGTGTACATATGAGTAAATTATCTCCAATCAACAAAAACATTTTTCATCAGTGAATCATAAAGAATATACTGACAGTAGTTATTAACTAATAATGATAAAACTAATAACAATTAGGTGTGATATTGTTAGCGACAAAGCCATATGAAAAAAAACTACAAACTTGTATTGTCTGTTTGGTTCATACCAATCATTTTTTAAAAACTTGGAAACAACTCTAACCTTGAAGCCAGTTCAATGTAATTGAAATAAATCACGCTTTAGCGTCCATTATCAACGGGATATGTGAGCATGGAGTTTTCTGAATAGTATAATCGACCAATTCCTAAGTCGTGATGGATGAATGTTAGAGATACGATCATAGAAGTATAACATCTACGTTTTCTGATCACATTATACCCATGTGAACTGGTAAATACATAGAGAGACCAATTAAAATCTCTTATCTTCGTGAAACTAATAATAACAAACTGAAGAGTGAACTTTGTACCTCTCCTCTGCTAAATTATCTTTTATATATAATTCTAATATACTGTATTACAATCTCACTCATAATGTAATCCATTAGCGCAGAATTGTTTCTGCTAAACTTCTACTTTATAGATTTATGCTTGAATTGAATTCATATATTATGCTATTCTTATCCATTCATTTTAGGTGAGCCAAAGACTGTGCAAAGCTTCTCATCAAAGGTATCATCTGTACTCGGTGAAACAGTAGTATGTTGATGTAAGTATACGTCAAACGCTTTTATTTATTGTCCCAACTGATGGAACAAATAGAAATGTGTTACTGCTGTTTCGTTCTACTTCACGAGAACCAGTAATTACTGAATAATTTTTTTAGAGATGTCAACCATGTTCTTTTTAGAATAATAAACACGTCATTGAAGTAACAGTACTGTTAACAAGGTTGTTGTTATAGTGTAAGATTGTCAAGATCTTCGTAAAGAGCCTAAATCCTAGAAGCCGTTTACAACCAAGTTGCACCGAGTTTTCGAAAGTACGTGAACCAATGTGTAAATACTAGGTCAGTTGAAAAGACAAAAATAAATAAGATATAGCATCCCAGAAAGGCAAAAAATAGTCAAAGTCATCATGAATACATGCATTTTAGTATACATTTTGAAGTTGCAATATAACTTCTGTTATATTACCGCCTTTTCCGTTTACCAAGTAGCTGAACAACCATGAAGGTTGGGATCCGACAGTTATTGTTTAAGTGTCCACTCTTAGGTTACATCCACTGAATTGTATATATATATATATATATATATATATATATATATATATATATATATATATATATATAAGGCTGCATTAAGTGAAGACTATGAGAGTATAAAACTTTTACATCAACATACTAAGATAAATTAATTGAAACCATAACATATATTCTGATGCATAGCAATGTAATTCTCGTCATGTAAAAGCGATGAGAAGTAATTTAAGTGGCGCTTTGATAGCAGAATAGACTACAAATCTAAATAAATTATCAGTCGTTCCAGGGTAATAAGCATACCAGTCGTCTGCATACAATCAACTGGCATACAGATAAGTCTTGAACAAAGCGAATACAAAAAGAGGGTATAAACAAAAAGTTAGAAATCAGGCACACAAACATCTCCAGCAAAAGAAACTTACCAAGCGTCTTAAAGGATTATGATGAGCGGTAACATCAGTTGTAATTTGTGTAAAAGGAATAAGTAATCCTATCAAATTTGTCAAGAGACTTGAGGTTGTGAAGACAAGTCGAATTGCCGGTTTTGATTGGTAAAGATAGATCAAAAATTTAAGCATGACAACAGCTGATTCAATATTCTCTTGTACATTAAAGCTTTTCATTACCAGCAGACCTACAAATTCTGTCAGCTTTGCGTGTTGCAATGATTCAGGCTAAAGGAATAAAAAATGACAAAAGACAGAGAAAGGAAAGGATCAAAAACATAATTTGACTTTTCCACCAAACAACACAATCATCTCAATATCAATTATGTGTCATACACTGAGGCTAGGTGACTAAGTAACTCAGTGCGAGAAAGTTCAAAATGACAAAAATACAAAGTAGGCGAACCGTAATTTCCTGAAAAGTATTAACACTGATATGGTAGTAAAGCATGGTCCCTGTGGTACGCTTTAATTACATTACAGTTTGCTAATATTAAACATCTCACACAGTGAGACAGTGTTGTTTACTGGATAACGCTTTGAAGACGATTTACTGTCCATATTCATATGAATATGACATCTAATAAACAAACTAAAATACAAGTACTGATACAGTAGTGGACGCAATCCAAATCACTTACGACGTAGAAAATGGACAAGGATAATTACTTATGCTACATTATGCAACAAAAGGAAGGAGAGACCATGGTTTGGATTCTACGGTTGACAGGAAACTGACACATTCTAACAGATATCTAGAGTTCAGATCATCTCGTACAATGTCAGTTACGGCGGGTCTTCTCAAATTTCTAAGTGAGAGCTAAAAACTCACTAGCCGTTGTGAGTATTTAAACAAGGAACTAAAACATATAAGCGTTAATAATTATCCTATACAGTTTATTAGGAAATTTGTACGAACACGTAGGAAACAAAATGATAACAGTAATGCGAATACAAATAATAGCAACAACATGAGTAGAAATAAATTCGAAATCTCTATTGTATTACACTATGAGGAAGGTACATTAGAAATTTTACGTAGGATTCTCAACAAGGCTGGAATTATCACAGCATTTAAATCAACAAGCTCACTCAGAGATAAGCTTTGCCGGCTTAAGGATCCCATAGATCCAATTAAGCAAAATAATCTCATCTATCAAATTCCATGTAATGACTCAAGTACATAGGTCAAACTAGTAGATCCGGGTCAGTTAGAATAGCCGAACATAGGAATTTAGCTAAATATAGAATGAAAGATCCGAATAAGATCAGTAATCTAGAAAAGCACTTAGCTGTTGCAATGCATGCATTAACACACACAGCCACCCAGTAGGGTGGGATAAAACCACTGTACTTAAGCCCAATATAAATAGGTGGAGAGAGAGATTGATTACTGAATCTTTGTTCATCGAATCAACATCAAAGACATGTAATAGGAATGATGAAACAGCTATACCTGAGATGTGGGAAGTTTTTCTACCTAAAGAAACAACGAATATCAGGTGACGCAACTATAAAAATCAAATGTTGAAAGTAGCGTGATCACATTGATATGATTATGAGCCATAATTTATGCTAGAAACGTCATCAAGTAAATAATACTGCATCACTGTGCACTATATATCAAATAAACAAATCTAATATGGAATGAATGGTGTTGATGACAATTGTAATGAATTCAAAAATTACATGAAAATAAACTTCAAAGAGAGCCTGACTAACCGGTACATAGTAGGAAATAGAATAGAACTACCTCATTTCAGAACAAACAACAGCACACTAAGAGAAGATGAAATCCAGATGTGATGTCGTGTTCATATCAGTAACATGGTTCATATATGCACACCAGACTGTAAAGCACACCTAATATACGATAGGCCATGATGATAAACCCGTTCCCGAAACCCAAAGTGAAAATGGATTTAGCTTTATGAGCCAATTTGTTGGAAATCGGAAGTTTAAACCAATCAATAAGCCGAAACACCAAAAACAAGATCATTAGAAAGAACAAAATTGAGGACATATACAGAGTGAAATGGGATGAAAACTGTATATGTATCACGCTGGTGAGCTTTCAGTCATATTAAATAAGGATGATATTAGACAATAAATCAAACAAAAATAAATCGAGTGAATGGCAAAATTTCAAAAAACGTTCAAGCAAAATTCCAAGAAAAAAAATACGTAATTGGGATTTGTATTTCGAGCAGTACTTTTGTACGGTTTGAATATGTTATACAAATTGCATAGAACTTATATGACATTGTTGTGCGTACCACATTATCTCAGTGGATGTAATTATTTCATTTGTAACTGTTTTTGTAACGGACTGAAATCCTAGTCAACTAAATCAAACCATTTGAAAACCTAGAAGGCAAGTTGAAGGTTCAAGTACTTAATCTGTGGGTCACTGGTCCGAACTTCCCTCTACCTACCAACGTTTGGACAGTCAAGCGGCATAACAAGGCTTTACTCAATACATGACACTGTCAGATGCTAAAACCTAACATCTAGTTGCTGAGTTATATTATTTATTTGTTTTGTGGTGAACAAAAGTTAATCCTTTCACAGTATTTGCAGTCAATATTTATACACGAAGCATTTGTAAGCTACCACTGACTGGTGTTTTCGAATGTTATCGATATAACTAAACAGTATTCACTGATTACATTACCTATCTAGATAATTTACGACCAAGTTAGTAGAGAGGCCTTAAAATGTGACTAATTAGCCTACACACTCGACGTTTAAACAATGAATCCTCAGTTTCCGATCTAGCTTCATCCAAATCAGTTTAAACCGCGAAGTACAACAAACCTTTAAAGGTCAAGTGTGATTCATAACTTAGTACATAAGCCTGAAGCGGATTGTTAAAATGCATTACAAATCACTGGGGTCTGAATGAACTTAACTTATAACACTTTCTCGTCAAGCCGTTAACTTCGAAAGTAAGGCAATTTATACAATAAAGCACAGTATTCACATTTTAAACTACGCAAAAAAGCAAACAGTACCCGATAAACCAATATACGAATAAGCTGTAAAATCAGCGTCCCAGCTTCTGGACATATAACCTGATTTGAATAAGCATTAGTAAGTGATGGTGTGAAGTTATTGTTTGTCGCTCCTGAAAATGTTGATGCTTGCAAATGCGATATCATTGGTGCATTACTACTAAGTTTGTTGGAACTATTAGTATTTCCGGAGGCATTTGGTGCAGTTACCACAGGACTTGTAGTTGAAGGAGCGATCCGGCGACTTCCACCCGATCCACTGAAAAATCCACTCATCAAACTGCTTACACTGGTAGATGTTCCAAAAGTAGTAGAAGGAAGAGATGAAATAAATGATGTACAATGAGTTGAACGATCAGCCATAGTAGTACCGGTAGAGTCTATCTCACGTCTCATTAACGTTGGAGAAATACAATTATTTTCGTATGCGATAAATGAATAAAATGTATCAAAATCAAACTAGAGTTCGAATAAAATATAAAAAAGAGAAAAACAGAGAGAATAACTTTTCTGAATGCAAAACGTAGTTAGTAGTAATCAATAACTAGAAAAAATTCACAGAGTTCAATGATAGTAAAAGGCGAAAAGCAATTTTATAAAGCGCTTCTACCCAGATCATTTAAAACTAATAATGACGAGAATCGTTGTTTGATACTTGTGGCCTGGCGCATAACGTTTTTGCGTTTCAAGCGATATGTACCGGGCTCGAGTCTCAGTGGGAACAGCATTCACTGGGGTGTAGGTACATCAAGCTGATAAGTCCCAAATAGGACGAAAACGCGTCATAGATTCCACTAAGAGTCACGATGATGAATATAACGACGAGAGTTTTCCAAAGACTTTACTCAAATAAGACCTACTCAATTTTCCAGCAAACCCACCAGTTTGAAATAGTTATCTTACCTAATTACAAATTTGACTCGATTAAGATATACATCTGTAATATAATTTAGTGTGATACACAAAACGGGATATGTTGAGTGCCAATAAAACTTCAGGTTCATACACAACAAAAATTTCCGATAACAGACTTTCGGGATGACTGGATGCGAAAAAAAAAACTGAGTTACAAGAGGATTCAGAATGTCTATCTTCAACGGTTAAACACAGTTTCTTTCGCATTCAAACATAATTCTTGCATTCAATAAATTACAGTAAATAAGTTTCAAAGTCCGGTCACCAATAAAAAAAAAACTAGAATCTCTGAGAAAACGAAATACCAGTGTTCAATAATAACACATTTTCAACCGAAATACATACAATCGTAATACATATTCAGTTTCGAACCAACATCATCAATCGGACGATATGGTCATTATTGAAACCCACTATTAGTCATATATATATATATATATATATATATATATATATATATATATATATATTTGCATACAGCGGAAAAATTAACAGTAGCGTAATTCAGGGCCTTAAGTATAAGTCGAAAAAAAAAATGTACAGCCATTTTATTTAGATATATTAAAATTATTGCTCTGTAATTTGTATCGCTCACTTGTCTTATAATTTCCCAGAAAAATAAAAAACTTATTATAACGTGATACTTCTTATCTCGTTTCCCATTTTCACTCGCTCAATTCCTAAAGTTTCTCAGGATTTTGCGATGTTACATAACATACCCACACTCACTTGCAATATTTATCTTCGTTGATAGATTGAAAGTGGTTTTGGCAGTAAATTCCTCTAGAATTTCTTATGTTTTGCACTATATATTATTGAATGTGCAAGTTTGGAAATAAACCGATAAAAAGATAATTATTTTAGCTGTAACAGTCTTTTAGCTTCTCTATTAATGTTTAAATGGAGGTATTTCGCGATTAATTAATTTGCACTTCCTTGGCTTTACTCTTACTAAATTCCACCTTGATGTGTCAATGCGAAGTATGACAACTTGAAACACGTAGTTATACCAACTTCTATAATCTGTAAACTGCTGGTGTTAACTGACAGTGCATTCAGTTATGCAATAAATAATGCAACGAAAGAGCGAAGAATAAGCGTTATTATTCTGCTGAATGTTCGGGAATGAAGTGATTTTTACCATCATATGATTAACAATGACACTATATCATGAAGAAATTAATGTTGATACATGATACAAAGCAGCCAAATAGAAATCAGCATTTTTAAGTCATCAGCCGCTAACGTAGAAGTGTTGGTATTTCACTTATTGTTTGATGTTACTGTGTAGTCTGGAAAAACCTTATCGGACAGTTTATCCTATAGTTGATTAATCAAAATAAGCATTTAATTTTTGACCTAGCGGTTTTGTGTTTATGAAAACTGCAAGTAAATGAATTATTTTTTGCTGAATAAAGTTCCTTTCTTACAGTCAAAGCTCAGTCTTTGACTACTAATATTTACGGGTCAGTACAGTTTCTGAAGGAGAAAGGTCCCTATTCGTATCCAGTTCAACTGCCTCACATCGCATTAGTATCGTTCGCACCTTTCTTATTATTTCACTCGGACTCTTACATTCACTCGTTTAAAAAAAGGATAAATAAAAAAAACAGTGCACCGCAGTGTTGCGTCACCAAACCTGATGGATAGATTACGAACTTGAACTACAGACTTCTGTCAGCATTTATCTCTAAAGACAAAACTACTAAATCATTTATACACTGGTGACAGACTAGTGTACCTATTTCAGTGTTAAAGAGATCAGTAGTGGCATAAAAGGTTTAGTGATAAATCCTCCAACTTCGGCCCTGAGTGATACAGGTTCAAATTACTAAAGCGAAAACGGTTTTCTCACCACTACAAATTCACTTTACACAAGAGTCAGTAATTGTGAAACCTATGTCATGGTTTTCTGTCGATATACACTTCATAGCCCTTAACACAGGTAAAAACTGTTCCTTCAACTGAGGTGAGTAAACTGAATAAAGTAAATCCGTCTGCTAAAAATCCAACACCCGGTCAACACTAATTTTGCAATACCTTTTACTTGTCGGTTGTAATAAATATGTAACCACAGTCAGTGTAAAGGATTCATAGCTATTGATAAAAGACTTCTAATGAGGATTGCTAAATATCCTTACCAGCAATATTCTATATTCCTGACTTTAGTTTGTAGTTGGATACAAATATACGATGATTTTTATTAGCGTAGAGGAATAATTCACTATTGTTAAAGGTAAATGGCTTGAGAAAAGAAATCAGCAATTACTGCGGTTAAAACAAGTCAGGCCACTTTTAGAAAAAATGTAACACTTTCGCGTCACTGATTGAGTTGTCAAGTAAAAGAAAGAACTACCAAAATATACTTAGAAATAATGTCAAGGTTGTAATTTTTCCATTTCAATCGGTTTCTATGCATACTCATGTTAAATTATTAGTAAAGATGTTTAACAATGAAAAGCAAAAAGATTAAGCATTCATTATTCACGGTTATTTACCTTTGCATTTTTTGGCATACATCGTACTGGTATTTTTAAAAGTAAGGCGAAGAGAAACAGGTATGTTTCAATTAAGTCTAAATGATATGGTAGTAGAATTTGTAGCACAGTAAATCCTTGTTGTTGACATGATGAGAGTTTAAGATCTCGAAGAGCTGAAGTATAACGAAGTGGAGTTTTATGCTTCGTTGAACCTTTAGAATTGTCTACCAAAAGAAAACCATATGAAATTAAATGAGAAGAAAAAGCATAAGATTACTGACACATAAAAGTACACTTGATTGCAAACGGAATAAATTTTAAATGTTGAAAAAATAAGATTTTTACATTTGAGAACTTAACAGTTGTAACGATTAGTCTGTTAATCTATTGCTTTAGAAATACTATTGTGCTCAATATGTGGAATGCTGATTAAAACTAGTAAAGACCAGTTTAAAGACGAGTGATCATGTATTTAATGCTAAATTCATGCTCATCCTACATTACGGACAACGTAAAATAATCATAAAATCATTTCACATCACAAGCTAAACAAATTAGAAAGTATCAACTTCAAGTAGGAAACTACGATGAACCTATCATAAAATTGATAAAGTCACAGAACAAACTCAAAGGCTTCATCGTAGAACTCATCGTTAAAACTACCAGGAAATAAAATCTTTACAACTATATCAAGAAGAGAGTACACCATGCCACAATCCAATCTTCGTTTCTGGCCATCAAGAATAGTAGTTAAAGGTGGAAGGTATAAAAAGGTTATAGGTGTTCAATTGACAATATTTCTGAACTTTTCATGTTAATCAAATAACAAGTTATAAATAATCAGGAAAAATTGCAGCAGAAAGTAAAGTAAGTTAAAAGATGAAGTTGTGAACATGTGCTGATTAATATAACAAAGAAATACGTTGCATATGCAGCCACCAGAACATGTGATGGAGTCCAAGTAATAGGAAGGAATCTTATCGAGCGCCAGGTTTAAATAGAGTGTGAGGAAATGAACTAAATAACTGTTGTTCTGAGCGGCAATGTTTGAAGCCTTAAAGCTGAGAATTTTAAAACTTACACAATTGAAAACGTCGGGAACACCGGAAACATCCATCATCGATCAATGTGCTTTAAGATGAATATTTGTCTCAACGTCATATATGATCATCTCATTGGATAAAAGTGTGATCACAAAATTCCAAAACATTGAAGATCACTTACAAATCTACTTTTATGAATATTTCAAAGTTTTGCTTTACGCAGGTCTGCATGGGAACGTGGAATAGACAATACTTGAATTTCTAAAACCGAGTACCTCTTAGAAGAAAAGGGAATTCGATCCATTATTTAGCATCAGGACGAATTAGACACACTACGGAAGATTCTCATACAAAATGGATATCCATCCAGATTTATAGAGAAGAACTTGACAGCAAAACAAAACACAGAGTAAGTACTCACAATTACAAAGAAGACCTTGTTTATGAACGTTGGTTTCAAAAGCAGAAATCCTGAAGAGTCGGCTGTCCAGATCGCTGAAGAAGACATTCTTTTCTGCGAAGCTTCTCTAGCCAGCAATTGGTTCCGGGGTGCGTTAAAGACAAGCTGCCGCTTTGGGGCAACTCAATATGTGTCTACAAACTTACTTGCTCCCGCGGAGCTTATTATATAGGCCGTACAGAGCGCGCACTTTCCAAACGTATCTCTGAGCACTATCCTGCATGGTTATCGAGGGGAGAATGTAAATCAATTGATAGTTCAATTCTTGAACATCTGGTTAACTCTGGATATAAAGCTCGACTAGAGTTCTCCTTCAGTGTCATTTATCGAGTCGAATGGGATAGTTTAAAGGGAGTACGCCATCGACAGTTGTGTACAACAGAAGCACTGGTAATTCATCAATTCAAGCTTGATCGCTGTGTGCAGAAAAAAGTACGTTCAATCTCTTATCTTACCATGGTCTTGACACCCACAATGTTTCGATTTCATTATAATTAGTTAGTTTATTATCACCTTCATTATGACCCTCGTATCATTCTTCACCTTTACATCTATCTATCTACCAAGTGGACACTCAATATTCACATATCTCATCTACCAACAATTTTCACCTTGTCTTCCCTGCCCTCCTCATCATTTTCACTGTCTAAAAGATTATTACGCAACTACTTTCCATTCTTGATTTCGTTTTTTAGCACTAGCTTAATAATGCGATTATACACTATTGTTTGGTAATAGACTGTTATATGTTTATGTTATAAATAAATACGGTTGTACAGCTTGAGAAAATGATATCGTCGGAAAACATTTTCTTCGCTGAATTATCTCTTCCTTTCTCCATGACCCAATGGGCATATTTCGTCGTCTAAATATTAGAAGTATTGTTTGGAATAAAGAGATTACTATTGTAGTAAATCTTTAAATTTGATTCTTTTCTGCAAGGATTTCAAACGACTAGAAATGACCGCACCTGTAGACAGCAGAGATGAACGTTACAGTGTTCTACGACAAGAAATACTACTTACCTACCTACCAAAAGTGTTACCTTTTCACTTCTCTGTATTTTCTAAACATCTTATAATCATCTTACGATAAACCATTTCTGATTTATTTGTATCAATATTCCAGCTATTTGAAATACCTTATCTTATCCCCAGTTACATCCTGCTAAACTGTTGTGAAAAGCAACAACCTGAGCCGATTGACATTAGCCCAAGATTGCTTCCTATTACAGTCGGTGATATAATTTCGATAAAAAAGTTATGTATTTATAAATCATCCTTAAGAACCAAAGCAACATTGAAAACATACCGATCAACAATCCATGTCTTTTCTTCAGCAAAATTTCACAGCCACGTAACCATCGTCCAGCAGACATCCTAAGCGAAAAGCGATAACACGATCGTTTTCTAAACACTTTGAAGATGATTTGCAGACACCGGATCACTATGAGAATCGTTTGACTCCATTTGTGTGAGAACAAAAGATAAATTTTGTTGTAATGTAGAATAATTACAAGTGAAAGAATGGCCAGGATTTAAAATTACTAATAATAATAAGTGTAGTGCATGTGAAATAGTAGATGGATGGATATTTGGACGCAACAATAAGTAGAACCAATCAAAGCCAACTGCACTTAGTAATTCACTACAAAATCTACAATAAGAAAGAAAAAGAAAAAGTAGGAGGAAGGTTAGAGGGTAAAGAGCAAAGTATGCCACTTAAAGAGACTAACAACTCAAAGTAAAGTATAACTTGGAGTGATTTCTCCATGCACCTAGGTTATAGTAAAAAAAACTATAAGAAAGAAAATAATAGCAATCTATGCCTTATACCAACTAGATAAATATAACTTCACAGATTCTGAATCCGAAGATACCCACTAGACAACCGTCAACGCTAGCTAACTCTCTCTGACTGGCTAGCAAAATCAACGTAAAACCACGCATACAAATGCACTGGCTCAAGCTGCCACACTTCACACCAGTAAACAAAAAACAGGTGAATAGAAAAAGAGTAGTAATAACGTAGACAATGTTGTGCGAGAGAATAAACAATTTGAAAATAAAGGTTAGTGGGAATATTCAAGCTTTAGAAGATGTCAAGGAATGAATTCATCTGCATCATTGTGACCGATTTCCAATCACATCAACAAGAGACTTCAACCACTAACTCCTATCGTCTCGGGAACCCCAGTCATGGACTCTGCACCTCCATAAACCGCTCAGATAAACACTCAAGGACTTCACCAACGTGTCACGTTTTGGTCTGGTCACCCTGAACCCTCTTCTAACCAAATCCAAATTCTACTAGAATGGCACTTCGAAGTAGGCGATGTCACGGCATGTGCAATACACATGAGAGCCATCTTAGTTGATGACGATTCCCAATCTCATCAATAGACTTAACTGTCTCGCCTAATACCCTTCGCCTGACCTCAACGTTGTTTACACAGTGACTTCCCTATATGTGAGCAATGCTACCAAAACGTCTATGATCAAAACCCTTAATCACTTCGTGTTTTCTATTCTTAACGGCCATATTTCACAACAGTATAACAAGTCACAACGCATTGCAGTGTAGTATAGTCGTCCTTTGATAGATATCTCGCCAGTCTACGCCGCAGATGAGGCTATTTGACAAATGTAAAACGGGCTTTCTGTATCCGAGTTAAGATTTCATCAGTAACCAATCCGTTTGGGTTGGTGCAGTGGTCGACACATCCCACAATTCACCTCTCATCATTAAACTGGGAGCAGTTACAGACCAGTCCACGCGTAACATACTGCATTTCATAGGTACGAAACACATGCTAACCAAACATACTTAGATTTCGTTCAACGCATTTACAAGACTCTGTATTTTGTCAGCGTCTTCACCCAGCAGGACAATATCATCTGCATACTCCAAGTCAACCACATGACCTCTAGGGAGTAGTTCGACTCCTGGAAAGAATCATGCTATCTCAAATTGACTGACTGCCATCCTTAGACATTGACGTTTGAAATACACCTCAGAAAACTAATGATTTATTTAACATGAGAAATAAAAGTTTACAGCTTTACTCCAGTAAATCCATAAGGATACATTGCTGAAAAAGGAAAAAGTTAAATTTGAAAGAAAGAGCGGCTAATTACTGACTGAAAACAGTTCAATCACTCCCCAATGAAAACCACATTAAGATTGAATTCGGTGCGCTTCTCTAAATTCCTCATGCATCATTGACATAATTGCTTTTTATCTGAGTTAACAAATACTAAAAGATATAAATTCTCACAAACCTGTTTACATTCTTTTCTTATGAATTAGCTACCTAGTTATTTTCACGCAATAAATATTTTCTTTTTTCCCTTTATCTCTTCCACATCTTCTGGTCAGAAGCTATGGGTGAAGCATCGGATAAGTGTCTAGATTTCGTAGACCGATGAAACAACTATCCAAAATAAAGTGAGTGTTTATAGTCCTACCATACTGATTCCGCCTAAACTACATAACTTTATTCCTAAACAAGACTCTGTTAATAAAATATTATATTTTGTATTTCGAAATGATAGTTGTATTCAGACTTTATGAATTGCTTTGAAAAAATTACATCAAAAGCAATAAATGCTACTAAAAACTATACAATTCAGCATTCATGAGTATTAAACTCAGTAAAAACATGCATAATTATGTGTAACGATGCAAAATAAATATCTATGATTTTTGAGGTGATACTATCCGATTATGTGACACAAAGTGAGCCAAATATATTCGAACTCATTCATGGCGAAGTCACAAAAGGTCGACTACCTCTAATATCGAGATAATCAATGTGTGTATTAGGGATGAATATAACAAAACAGCTACTCAGAACAAAGTAGGTAAAATGTAGCTCACGGTCCATAACCCGGATTCTAAGTCTCAAATTTACAATGACGATAATACAAAATGTATAATTTTCGCTTATATATGGTGCAAAGTTACCTTTGTCTATCAATCTTTCCACTAAACTATTCGCCTGACAAATGAAAATTTGAATATTGAATATTCAAAAATTTTACTTACTTGTCATTTGTACCATCTGTTTCTGTGATAAGTTGGATCAATGTTTCTAGACAATGATTCCTCAGGATAATGAGATTTCGTGACAATTCAGTAGATACTAGAAAAGAAGGATCGAAAATAGGATGCAGATAAACAGGCTAGAAAAACTTACATAGAACAAAAACTGACTAAAGGGTAGATGAATAACTTTAATGCAATTAAAATAAAAATCATAATAAGTATGAAGAAAAGCCCCTTTATTGATTATTCGCTGCATATGACCATCGAAAATGCAAACATTAACGGGACACATGAAATATTGTTGTCTGATAGTGTGAACACCATAGGCACCATAGGTAAATTTGTGAAATGTACTACTGCAGAAAGCCATAGGATATTCAAATTACATATGCACTTTTCTAACGAGTGGCAATGGTTGCTTGTAGTTCATTAAATTCACTAAAGGTACTGTTTCACAACAAAACAGAATCATAAGTGAAAGTAAGCGGCAACAGCACAGTTCACTGGGAAAATCTGTGACAGTAAGTCACCGGTTCAAATCGAATTTCTAACAACTGAAAGTCGGATAACGAGATAATATCACAGGACGAAAACAAAATAGGTACATTTCTCAGTATACAATTTGTAAGCGATTATTGAGTCTCTTCCCTAGTACGCTTTTGAAATACAAATTCATACGTTTACCTCTCTAATTCAAGAGTGTATGAGCAGCTTACCCAAACAAAAACAGTTAGAGCAACACAAATATTCACTTATAATATAAATATTAACTCGTTGAAATGAATTTGTACCAATGAAAGGAAATACCATGATTTCTAAAAATTCGACGTGAAACTACCGGAAAACCAAATATTTCTAATTCCATATTAGATTTGTTTATTTAACCCATAACACACAGTGATCTAGTATTATTTACTTGATGACGTTTCAAGCATAAATGATTATTGCTCATAATCATATCATATTAATATGATTATGAGCAATAATCATTTATGCTCGAAACGTCATCAAGTAAATAATACTAGATCACTGTGTGTTACAAATTAAATAAGCAAATCTAATATGGATTAAATTCTATCACAGTGCCCAAGTTTTACAGCTGTACAAATATTTCTAGTCACACCATTTCAGGAAATTTGAACTTCTGTGAAATTCTAAATCTAGTTTCATGAAGTCTATCCTTAAAATATTAATCCATTAAATCACCCATATAATTTCAACTCTTATCATCATCAGATTGAAGTGACAATAAACGCATTCGGCTTATTCAGGCTTTTCCTTACTCGTAGCCGGGTTAAGTGAGAATAAGAGAAAAGCGTTCTAAGAATTATTATGGTATATCTGCTCGAGTTTAGTGTAGCGAACTTTAGCGGACTCTTGAATCTGAATCACATCAGTGGATTTCGTCTCATTCATGCATACTACTTAATAATTTCTTCATTAGGCTTGTCAAACATGATGTTTTGAGCCAGAGAGATCACAATTTGTTACCTTTACTGGATTAGTTTTTCGAATAAATAAAGTCAATGATGAAAAAAATGTCTTCATCAGTGTGAAAATCCGATCGTAGGTAGTATAGATTGAAAACACTTTCATGCAAAGAACGGAGAATTAGATAAACATTAATAAAATTGTTATAGGAACTTACGCATAAGTGTAGCATTGCCATCATCATCATCCATAGATGACTGTATATAAGATTGGTCTAATGAAATCAGTGTTTCATTTGTTTGTGAATTAGTGGGTAAAGTCCAAGCAATTAGTTGACCAAATCTAATTTTTTTAAAGGCAGAAAAATTAATCTTTTAAATGGATAAATGTTATAGATTATCATCAGTTGGTGAATATTTTTAGATATGAATGGATAGACTAGATATTTCGCCTGAAAAAAAAATTAAAGAAATGCAGTTGTAGCTAAATGGATTAAGAACTTAAATTTTCGAGTAATGGATCCGAGGTACAAACCCTACTTAACATACTTTCATCTTGGAGTTCAGGTAGTTTCACAAACCTTCATACATCATAGTACAGTTCATTGCGTACTATAAGAATATATGTCAGGTTGATTTGCACTAATTGTTAATTCAACTTAGAAATATGAACGAAAATGGGATCTCAAGTATTTTCATTTATCTGTAATGGAATATTAACTTTTTGAGAAGAATAATAAATAATTGCTCGTAAGATCGGGTTAGTTTACTTGATAGTTAAACTGGTGGCAATCTTTACATTTGGAAAACATTAATTTTATGCATGATAGTCAACAGCTAGTAGCTTCGCAAATATTTAAGGCCTATAACAAGTATATAAAGAACATGATAATCAATTAATGAACAAAACATTCAATTCAAAAAAATAAGTTGCAGAAACTAAACTTTAAAAAAGAGCATTTCAATGAGGATCAGTATCATGATATCACCAACAAAATAATAACGAAAATCGATGGATACAACATATATTTATGTAGTCACTATCACTGATGACCTTGAGAATATATGACATGAGTTCTTGGGAGATGAAATCAACGTGAAATTCAGTGGTTACTTCTCCGCTTTTCAGATTCCATCTGATTGTCTTAATTTCCACTCTGAAAACAAATTTTCGTAAAATATCTCAACAGTAAGGTTGATGGCCATGATGTCCTGAATAAAATGCAAATATGAATCTCAGGTGCTAACCATTTTTAACGGAGTAGAATCAATCAATCAATCAATTATTATCAACATAGGACCAGGCATTACTGCGTAACGGTACGAGTTACCACACCTCATATCAGCACATCAAGTAAAAAGGTAGTGAGGTGAAGGATGAAGATAAGTGAATGCAGTCAAAAGAAATATAAAGTACGAAAAGAAAGGGAAGAGGAGTGACAAAATGGTGAGATTCGGTATCGTGTAATTAAGATGAGGTTAATGTGTGTATACATCTGTGCCACTGACATCCGTTCTCAGCCATATCACTTAGAGTCTACAACTCCTCGTTCCTCTTGTCCTGCGAACCCCAACCACCTAATCTGCATCGCCCCACATGGCTTAAACCAACAGTCAAACACTTCATAAATTGATGTCATGTTTCAGTCTGGCCGTCTCAAGCCTTTTTCCAGAGTGAACCTACTTCGGCCAACATTGTGTTATGAGGTGGACAGCGACTAGACATACATAACACATGTCGCAACCAACCATCTCAGTCGATGAAGGTTCACAACCTCGTCAACTGACTTACCTATTCTTCCTAAAACTCTGCTCATGACTTCTGCGTTGCTCACGTGATGACACCATGGAATACGTCCTATACTACGAAGGTAATGCTGGTCAAACACCTGAAGTCTTTTCATATCTTCCACTTTCAATGGCCATGTTTCACAGCCATACAGTAGAACAGAGCGGACTGCTGTGCAGTACACGCGACCCTGAATAGACAAACGAATATCACGGCGGCGCCATAGGTGGCGCAAATTGGCAAAAGCCAATCGAGCCTTTTGTATCCGTGCAGAGATCTCATCGGCAACTAACCCACCAGGGTTGATCCTACTTCCTAGGTAAGTGAAGTGGTCAACACACTCAACCACTTCACTCTCTATTGTTAGCCGTTGTACCGCTGAAGACCAATCCTGGAGCAAAAATTTGCATTTGGGTGGTGAAAATCGCATCCCAAACATTCTCAAATTCCCAATCAAAGTTTTCAGAAGACTCTGCATCCTGTTAGCGTCTTCACCCAACAGGGTAGGTGATATACTCATTATATAGGTGAATTCCAAAAAAGATTGGCAGAACTAAGAGTTATTATTTGAAATTGAATACTCCGTATCCTGTTACTCATCTTGAAGAGAGCATTGCATTTTGTATTTAACATAATTTGATCAGTGATAAGTACCAGATAAATAACTTCATCGAAATTCTGCAACTAATGACTACGATATATCTGTGTATGTAGGCATGAACACATTGTATATGCTGATAGTTAACTTTCACTAGTAGAATGAAAGTATACGTTTATAAAAATGATCATGTGAGATAGGTGGGACCAGGCGACTAGAATGTAGAAATAAAACAGCAATAATCAGTTATGCGGTATACATCGTCAATCTACAGATGGATTTTCAATAGTCATTCATCTCAGTATCATAGTTTTATAAATAGTTAACACATGAAGCAACTCCCTCGGAAAGGTTCATTAACTAATTTTTACAGCATAAACTTATTATTAATCAACTGAAACTTTTAAAAGCGTGAGTACGTAATTAATAAAATAAAACAAACAGAAAAAAAAATATTGGTAAAGATTAATATTCTCACCTTAAAAACCATTTTGATGATGATGATGCATATATAGATAAACACAATTGTATAAATGATAAGCATGAATTCACAAAATTTCTTCTTCCAATCACATCAATTACTAAATGATGAATTTGTTTCGCTTGTGTCCAATTTGAATGAGAATTCATTAATAAGTAAATAACACGATCAAATATTACATTCCATATGGGATGGATAATCTAAAATTTATGTAGGTATGGTGAAGGAAAAATACAGAAAAGAGAAGATAAGTTCATGAGTTTTATAATTTTAGAAAGCATGAAATAGATTATCCAAAACTGACTGATAAATAAGGATATTATGACTGAAGATTAGAGGAAAGCTTTAATATAGTCGGTTGGAAATCAGAGTACTCCAGATCTGATAAAAAGTCGGAATAGGGGGGTATTCGAAGTTTATGAACCTTAACATTTTAATTTCTAATGACTAGACTGAGAATAGAAGCACAAGTAAGATTAATACTAACCACGACGAACTTGAGATAAATAAGTGATGAGAACTTCATAAATTCATTTCGCTGTACAACGCTAGAAGAAAACAGCCTCTAATTCGTATCCATAGCTCTAGAACCCGATTATAATGGCGTCATTAGAAATATACACAACAAGCCACAGAAAACAAAAAGGAATACAAATTAAAGTAATACATAATATTATCCATCAATAGTGGACAAAGTACAATATAACTATACAAATAAGTCATTTAACTACTCATAAATGTTTCTCACTGAATCCACTGTCTATGTATGTATTTCCCATTTAAGTAATACAATAATCGGTTTGATTGTTCACCTAGTGAGTAGGTGGATTCAAATGCATTTGTTATGGAGTGCAACAATATCCCCTAGATTTCTCAAAGAAGCCTAGAATTCCCTGGAAAGCCTTCACACTCAATCATGACATGTCAAACGTCTCAGATTGACTAAAGACCTTTCTAGAAAAGTGTAGAACTTATCAAAGCCACCAAAAAATGCATATAAACTGATATTTTTTGTACATGTTTGAATTGACAATCAACCTTCCATTGTTTCTACCGCTTCTTTCTGTTTTCAAGGAACTGAGACACTCTCAAGGGTGAAGCCTAAAAATGTTTAAGAGTTCACCCACATACACATACAACAAGGATGTATCAGTATTCATAAACAATAACATTCAATACTTCTGACCAAAGTAAATGTTAACGGTAAGTCAAACAAGTAGTACCGTAAACTGGATATGAAATGAATAATATTCAACAAATAACAAACAATTCACGGTATCTGAATTGCTTGAAGCATTCAGATAGAACGCGTCTCTGAATCTATGAAGCTGGAGAAACTAAGGGTTAGAAAGATGCCTCATAGCAAAATACCATCAAACTAACAGCCATAAAGCCTGCTACCGCTAAACTATATTCTGCAAAATACATTCCATATGTCGGAACTCTCTTTTAACGATGTAGTATTGTTCATACACTGTAATCATTTGCTTTTATTATGAATCACAATGCATAAAACAGCATTACACAAACACAAATACACGCAAAAGAAATTCGTAACAAAACTTTACCACTTCAAATTTATTACTGCTATCTGTAGGCGAGTTCGCCACATCACTAGATGATTTACTAGGAGTGGAGAAATTTGATTTAGGTAGTGGATTCGGTAACAGTTCGACAAGATGCGATATCAAATTAGCTACTAGTTGATAATCATCTTCGATAAACTGTATGGTGTCATCGTTATCGAAATGAGGATGAGAATGTTGGTGAATTTGTTCAACATTGATTGACAAGCCAATTAGTGCATCGCGTCGAATACGAATATCCGACTCATTGGTTATTTGACGTTCAATACGCCACAAGTCAAGATCACAGACTAAATCTTCAAAAGCTGGATGATCAATAGACGGGAATGTCTGAAAGTTTAGAAAAATAAGAATGTGGGTATATAAAAACCGCTGAGTTGAGAAGTTCACAAGATATATGAATTATAATAATTCAACAGTATGGTCTTTGCATGTCTCCCTTTTGATTTCAGTTGGCGTAACTAACCTTGGTTAACTAACACATCTCATGTGTAAATGCCTTAACACTAGAATTTATGATAATCAACCCTTAAATAAGTGAAAAATGTCTCATCATTTTAGAAAATATATTCATATTCATTGCATTGTACCGACTGTATGGATATCATAGTCGGCAACCTCAAATATTCATGCAAGGATCGCGATTGAAGTTGATTGAAAACTTGAAATGGCTAACTTAGTGAAGAACAGTCTCGTTAATTATCAAACTCGAACACATCTCCAGAGACTATCACTCTAATTTACACAAATATTCTTTTTAAAGTTGTAAGCGTCATAGATGAAGGGCAAGTGAAACGTTCATTTTTTTAAAACAAAGTTTGAAAATGATTAATAATAAAGCTTTTGAGCTCAGTCGGTAAAGGAATATGCTAGTTAACCAAAAGTGATTTTTGAACACTAGTTAACCTATAGATTTATTACTCATATTATTTAGTTGAATTAAATGCAACTTGTTTTCACCAGCGAAATCCACCTTATAGATGTAGAAAAAATTGTAAAACTATGTTTTAATTGTGTTCAAAAAATCACGGGAATAAAAAGAAAATAGGCTCATACGCGGACTCAAAATCCCCACTTGAAAAAACAGTTCATTTCGTAAATAAGCTAGGATAAAATAGATTTCATCCTAATTTGTATTACAGACGAGGAATAAACACTTCTACAAGCGGTGCTTTGAGTCAGCGATAATAAGAACAGTAAAGGCAAAATGTAGAACTACACAATAACAGTGATTAACTAGAAAAAGAAAAATCCATTAATTTCATGACAGCTTTTTTTTTGTTTTAGATGTTAAAAATAAATGTTAATGACATTTGAAGATGGTTTTTAGCTTAAAGCGTCCATAATTATTATCTCTTCCACTCTAGTATATAACTCTTCAAAAATACATGTATTACACTTTTACTAGGAATGAATTGAATTTACACAATTATGACAACATATCGGCTCAGTAAAGGAGTCAATCCACTGTGACACTCATACAAATACTCCTTTGTTTTCAGTAGCACTACAACTAAGATTAATTCGTCATGAAAAAAAGATATCAAAACTAATCAAGTCCTACAAATCGACAACCAATGGAACTAGTTTCAAACTTTGAATAACTATAAAGTAAACTGAATAATTAACTGACCTGAGATGTCGGAGACTTGTCAGACCATGAATTCATATTCAACGCTAAACTTAGAATTGAATCCAATATTCTAGTAGTTAGTAGATGACGTTTACGCCGCAGCAGGACAGCATATATCTAAAGAACAATTATAAGCATAAAATGTTTTACTTGATAACCTCTTGTACGTAACATTTCAATCGATGCAGCTGGATTACATTTGAGAAGTGTGCATGCTGCCTTATTTGAAGCATACAATGTTTCTACATCTTGTGCCATAGCAATTAATGCTAAACCAATCCGCATGCCCTCACCGCCTGTTACACAATGAATAAGACGACAAACAGGGCTAGGTGTGAAAGTTCGTACACCTTGATATCCGACAAGTACTGCACCAAGTGGTCTAGCTGCACCATGAAGATGTAAAGCGGAATTGCGTAAAATACGTATAGGTGTTGCATTCTCTTTAGGTGATAAATAGAACTAAAACAAACATAAAATAAAATATTCAATGGAATTCATATACGAATTATTATTTTAAAAAATCAGCATAAGTTGTTTTAACCAAAATTTGCATTGAAGTGACTCCAAAAAAATAGAAACACGAAGAAAAACCGGGTTTTCGTTTCTCATCAGATTAGTTTATTTGCTGTAGTACATAAGGATAAGGTGCTATTAACTAGATGGAATTTCCAGCACAATTTATTTCTTGATAATCACATCGAAAATATGACTACGATGTATGAATTTGATATTATGAACAAAAAATTGTGCTTGAAACTTTATTCAGTAGAAAATAACGTATCCTAGTGTACCATATTAAACAAACTAATTTAATATAGAACTGCACTCTATAACAGTGACCAACTTCTATACTTACAAAGCTTATCGCGCTAGATATTTTGTTGCATAGGCAACATCAAGTATGAACAATGCTATATGGAATGCTAAATATTGGAAAACTATAAAATTAGTACAGGTGTGTTAGAAAAACCAAATAGCTTATATACACCCACTAATTCAAGAAATCAAACTCAGCTAGTTCACTTGAATCTTCTCATTATGTTGATAAAAGTAATCACAATATACTGGGTGGTGAGGATAAAACGACCATTCCACAACTCGCAGTAGTTGTTCAAACAAGGTAAGATCATAATGAAAGATACATTTCCGCATAAAAACTAGCATTGGTTCTTCAAATATATGAAACATAGGATATTGTCAAGTCCTACATAGATGACATAATTATTTCTAATATACGTTTATGAGTAATAACGTCATAATTCCAGAAGCGTCCAAAGACATTTATGGTAAAATCATTTGCATTTGAAATACAAGGGAATTTAAGGAGTGCAAAATGTAATACCGGGATTATTTTAGGGAGCAGTTTAAATTTTACTCTCACAGTAACACTAACAACACAGGAATAAACCCAGCCGAAAACAGTAGAACTAAACTTTAGTGATGGGAAACCTTGAGGATAACCAATGAGGTTATAGATGCTTTATTCAAGGTGATTCGTTACGCCTGTTCACCGTTTTGTTTACGCAGCATAAACTTTTGACAAATTATGAGAAAGATTACGTTGCAAGTCAGATGTGAAATTCGGTGAAGTAGGTTATGTGATTGAAATAGGTAAACGTCTATTTCGGAGACGTAAATATAACCTAGGAAAACGACTTAAACAGGACTGGGTTATTTACACACATGTATCTTGGCAAACTATAGATTCTTGGTACATATAAAAGAAATAAGAAGAAAGGACAGTTTCAGTGGACAAAGGACAGGTCAGTAAAATCTATCTTAGCAGTTGTAGAAAACTGCGCAGCATTGGGCATCACAAAATGCACAGATGCTTGGAAGTAGTACGCCTCTACTTGAAATGAGTTACCCCTATCAAGCTATTGCTCACAAGAAAGACTTCGTCGGTCAGATAGCTGAAGTACACACACAAAACATTGGAAATATATACAGTCATTTTTGAAAGTTCCTGAGACCTTTAGTGGGATCACGAGGGTAAATGACATAGTCTCATAGGGATTAGTGGCAAATCAGACAACGGTAAGGTTTCAAAGATGATAAACCTATTGAAAATCTAGATATCTTTATTTCTCATGTAAAACAGTTTGATAAGTCGCAAGTGAAGTAACATTTCCCAGAATAGCTACAGTATCCTTCATATTACTGATTTTGATTGGTCAGCGTGATTGGCCGTTACTAAAGTTTAGTTCTACACCGAAAACAACTACAGAAAAAAATGAAACAAGATACACCAACAGAGATGACAGTTAAATGCGGATGATGGAATTCTGGATAAGGCTTATATTCACTGTTCCGTACAATTTGATCTATATGTCTAAGGGGTTTCAAGGGAACTACTGGTGAAAATCAGAGTAATAAGTGATACTGCGTACAATGACCAAAGACGCAAAACAAACCAATAAACACTATTTAGAATAAACGGAAAGGCTGCTTTTCATTCAGTATGCTAATTGAAAGTCAACAGTATTAACCACAGTATATCTGTATGCTTATTAGAATATTTCCAATACCCAGAACTATGTATCTGAACAGAAAATAGCTTACTCTATAGTTACATCACATATCAACATTAATGATCACTTCATATTATCCTACCACACATCACAGTCATATATTACAACAGAGTATATTGCCCCTATTGAGATTAACATATCCTACACCAAGGTCTTCATAAGTCTGTCTGTTCTACATTGAAGTCTAATTAACTATTGGTTCATGAGAATGCGTTCAACATTAAACTATGCATTGACAAACTGACAAAATTGTGTGTAACCACCACTGACCTCTCCCTATTTTAAAGTTCACACTAATCTACACCCATCACATATTTCAGGTAGCTGTCAACAAAATCTAGTGTTTAATTTATACATGTCAACTTTCACAAAACTGCGCTTTTAAGGTTAGATGCCATAATTTTGCTCTGGATTTTTATAAATAATATTATTTCAGAAAACTAGCAAACGAAACAAACCAAGAATTGAACAAACATTTCAGTAACATACAAAACGTTTTTCAACGAACTGACAGCCGTAGCTAACTAAGATGATAATCATAGTTATAAGAAGAAATCTGATAACCTGTTTAGCTCACCATGGAAATGTAAACAAACAAATTTACTTTAGACGCCTTCGTTCATCGAAGGAAATCATTAAAAGGATTATTATATCAGTGAGGACGACATTTTCTTAAGAAAGCTTGTCCCTAACATTTTATATTTTCAATCAACCTATTTATTAAGTGGGGGGAAAAGGGAGAAAAGCACACGCAGACACACTAGTTGGGTTGCTAAAAACAAAAAGGCAAATATATTTTAGGGTTAATAGGGTTTTATTTTATTTTATTTTAGCTCTCATCATGGATTGAAATCAGTTGGAGGATCATTCAAAACCTGGGGGCAATAAAAAGGTGTTTCGTCGTAGTATGGGACTCCTCATCAGTATGCACCCATGACTTCGTCCCACCAGGAATCGAATTCAGAACCTTTAGATTTAACGGCAACGCGTCGACTACTCAGCTACTGGGTCGGAGTTCAATGACCCACAGATTTCTACTTCTGTTAATTCGCCGTATAGCGCGACTATCAACTAAGGTTTTCAGTTGGCATCCACTTCACTTCCAACTGGTTGGACAGATAGGTCAATGCTTCTCATTAGAACTTCAGGATATCCAACTAGAACTATGTCACTAATGAGCAAGAGTCCCATACTGGGTCGAAACAGTTGTCCTACCCTTCCAGGTTTTCAATGGCCCTCTAACAGATATCAGTCCGTGATGAAAGCTACCTTAAAAAGGTCAACGTCAGTTATGAAGCTCTGAAATAAGCTTTTCGATGCACAAGAAACAGTAAGCAAAATTTAGTCCTCAGTTAGATGACAGAGAGATAGAGAACATGATTACTTTAGTCATCTCAAGAAAAACCTAGAAAGGAGTGGGAGAAAAACGTAATAGCAGATGACATTCGTTGGATGAAAGATGATGGGTGCTGCAACCGAATCACTTAGTAGATAGTATTTTGAAGTTTCGAGCATCACTGCAGATATAGCTACACTTAGCTGGTAAGCACAGAAAATGAAACGACCCTTGACCTCGAATCATTCAAATGCTAGACATCACTACAAAACACAATAGTAATTTAGGACTGAGATAACTGGGATATGTGTTGCGTATGCCTAACTACGGTCTGTCTCGTTGCACAATGTTGGCCGAAGTAGGCTCAGGTTAGAAAAAGATTAGGAGTGGTCAGACTAAAACATGGGATTAGTGCATGAAGTCCTTGACTGTTGGTTTGAGCCATGTAGGGCGATGCAGACTAGCAGGTTGGGGTCCACAAGACAAGAGAAACAAGTGGTTGGAGACTCTAGGTGATACGGCTCAGAATCGATGTCAGTGGCGCAGAGGCTTACACACATTATCCCCATGTTAACCATCACACCTAACCTCATCATCATATTCTTTCTTTCTCTTTTTTACTACTTTCCAATTCTACTTCCTTTGACCGAGTTTTCTCTCCTTCTTGATCTTCCATTTTATTACCTGTTTACTTGGTGTGCCAATATGAGACGTGGCAACTTGGACCGTTACGCAGTAATACCTGGTCCTATGTTGATCTTGATGATGATGACTATAATAATTTACTGGGTGAAAATATTTAGTGATCCATGTAGGAAGCCTGTATACCAAGTGGAAGGTTCACCAACCCACTACAAATAAGTAGCAGTATGAAATAATAAGCTACACTACCACAGATAAAATCTGAATAACGGCTTCTGAACATGATGCACAACTCTAACGCCAGGAGGATAATGATAATCTGCTGGAAGGTCAACTTACAATAACAAATAACAAACTGAACCAAGCACATTCTAGAGAAGTCAAGTAATATACAACGTATAGTCTAGTAAAATAAAAGACAACATTTTGCCCAAACAATTTGTTGATTCGTCAAAACAAAATAACTTACACCAACATCACACAACAACTAGATTAATAGTAAATGCTACATTTCGCTTTCTTCACAATTAAACCAACTGCCGCAATCGAAAAGCCTATCTTATACATAAACAGGACAACATGATGTCTAAATAATCTACGGTATTCACCGTTCCTAGAAAGATCGCATCTAATGAACACAGATTTAACACAAAAGATGATTAAGAGCAATTAGTTAGAGTTTATTTCCTAAAGTTAAAAATACAAACGTGAATTGAGTTTCAAAATGGGAGTTCATCAAAAGAAACTATCTGCTACACATATCGAGGAAGAAGTAACATTGAACAGCCAATGCCTTCTACATAGGCATACATTAATAATATGATCTGACTCATAATCAGATTAATGGCTACCAATACCCCGACGACTGCGTTATCTGTTGTGAATTTATGGTTGAATATTCCTAGCAAAAGTACTAAAATTAGGTAAAGAAGAAATTAGATTAAAATTTTGACGTTTTCTGGGTGGTGAAAACAACACTATGACAAGTTGAAATGAAGAAACTATTGCGTTAATCCTTTTCTGTCAACAGTTATCAAAATCACGTCGACTCGAGACGATACGATAACTAAAGTGGGGAAAGATATCGGAATCCACTCAACAACGTTATTGCACATCCGTGCAATAGGCAATGAGTCACACATATTGTATGACGTCAAATGATACTGATGGTGACTCGGATCTAAGTAGGTAGAACTTGCTTCGAACTCGCGCTCCACCGTTTGAAAATCGAGTGTCTAGGCCCATACGACAAGGCTTTATAATTACACTGGATCATCAGAACAACATAACTAACAAGGATAGAATGATTAAATGCAACCAAAAAAGATGAAGGGGAAATAACCAACCACCTCATAATCCTAACATGCCATAATAAACAAAAAAGTGTATATCCACTAGTGTTAACCCACCTGTCTTCCAATCGCTTTAGCATCACACTGATTATAAACTTTACGAATTCTGTTCAAGGTAAGAGTGGATAAATTACAAGCATATATCCCAAAAACAAGTTTATCCTCAGAAAACAACGGAAAATAAGATTCATCCACATCTGGTCGTATAAATGCTATGGAGAAAGAGTTAACATTTGAAAAAACAACTTAGTTATTACGCAAATATAGTCAAATGGGGCATAATCCAGGCTGTCCATATGGTACAAATAACCGCTACTACAGTAGTAGGAAAATGGAAAACGATACACAATTTCTGAAGCTGATATGACTTCAGAAAATCAGTGCTATACAATTGCTCCCGGTATGTTGGTATTTACATAGTAAACATTTAGCATAAAAATCACCTCCATACTGTAGTCTCAAGGTGACTGATTTCAGACAGACAAGTTGCCACACTCCATACCAGTATGTAAACAGGCAGGAACAAGAAAAATGAAAAAGTGGTGGACGAAAATGTATGACAGATAAGAGATTTCATAAATGAAAAGTGACGAAAATGTTCAAAACTTCCAATCGACAAAGTGTATCCATCTGAGCCATTCTGACCACTTAGTAACTATGTCGTCAACAGTCCCTAACGACTGATTCACATTACCTCGAGGACCCTAGACAGACAGTCGGCATCTGCTGACACAGTTGAGACCCATGGTCGGAGACATCATCAACTGGTACCACGTCTTGGTTAGGCCACTTGAAGCATTCGTCTGAACACATCTTACCAACGAGGTAGCCAGTCCCTTGTAAGCGCAAAACAAGACCAAGTCATTTAATTCAGTGAGCGTTGACAACCTCACCAACTGATTCATTTGCGCAGTAACCTTCGTCTATGCATGACATTGATAACACGGTGATCCTACCATACACGGAGTTAGCTCTAGTTAGAAAACCGTAGCCTTTTCACAAAAAGTTTCAACGACCATCCCTCACAGCACTAGAACAGGACAGAGAAAACTGCTACACAGAATACTCAGCGTCGAAGAAGCAATTGCACGTCTCCCCGGCAACATAAAAGTTATAAGTTGACGAACGACAAATGGGCTTTTCCTATCCGAGCAGAAATATAGTCAGTAACCGATTCAATCGAGCTTATACAAATCTTAAGCTAACTGAGGTGCTTAAACATAGTTACCGTACTTGAGTAAATGTGAGTTGAAATCAAGTAGTATAGAATTCGTAACAAAATGAGTAGACAGTTGTCAGTGAGCAAGGGAATGAGAAATTCGTAACTATGCTAGACAAAATCGTCTAAGTAATAACAATATGAGAGGTGAAAGATAAGTTAGGTTTAAGGACTGGACATTTTAAGGATTAATTTAAAAAGGGAATAAGGACGGAGAATGGCAAAGTCGCTTCTGGATGCACAATTCCAGTTTCGATTGTTGTATTGCCAGAGCTTCACCAATGGAAAGTGAATGTTTTGTCAAATCCTTCAAAAGATTACGTTTTACTTTGTAGAGGTAGTGTAACGAATCTTCTGAAATTCTATCCGTACTCAACCAAATGTTGTAATATGGAGCTATTATTTGATCTGTGTTGACCTTTACCAAGTCATGTTGGAGGATGTTGGCGCTGACGCTGGATAATTTGTCTCTAAGTACGACCTGTGTACATAGCTTCACAGGAGTAGGTGAACTGATATATGCATATTGAAGTGGTTTCAGTGATAGTTTTTCCTTCCCACATATGTTCTCCGTTGGGGGACGAATGTAAGTGATTTGGAGAGTGGCTGGATAGAATGCTCTTTTGACAGCCTTTATTAGTTTATGTTTTAGTACCTCATCTGCTACATTATTGCGCACCACTTATTTACAGACAACAGCGTTGTAAATAGTACTAATATTAACGAAGTATCAAAACGGTGAGATAAAAACAACATCGAACCATGAATTCCATAGCTACTGGTCATACTTATGCAGGATTGAGGCTCATAAGATGTCTTTGTTACAATTCCTCCGAATACCAAATAAGGCTTTTAGTTTCGTATAACCATGTTTCTGTGAGGTTTCACAACTTAAGCCGATAAAATAATATACTCGACTTTATACTGCTTGGACTAACCAATCAGTCTTTCATAATAAACAGTTGGACAAACAACATACTTAAAGTATAGGGATACATTTTAATACAACATTAGCATTTATGTGGGAAATTTCTTTCCATAAATGAACCAAATTTGCAAAAATAAACAGGAAATATGCGACAATTACTAACAAATAAAGTTAGCATAATGTTTTGACGATATTATATGCGATGCATAGAAAATACTTCCACAGGGTTCAATACTCATCTTAGATTTATTTTGATTGACAAGAGGAGCAAGGTTTAAATCTGAAGTTTCTCGTCGTTTTATGTGCCACACTCGAGTTAAACATGCGAACAATATCTCTGTAGCTTTGTGCACAGTTGTCATCTTAGGCTTTTAAGTACTAACAAACTAACCTTATAATGTAGGTTAGAATTACCGATAAACGAATAGATGGAATCTATAGGACTTATATGAAACATGATAACATACCTGCGTGAAAAAAATCAAATAAGTAGGATGACAGTTAATTTTTTTTCTAATCCTATAAATCTGTTTGCTTAACTGCCACTCTAATACCTTTTGTCAAACAATTTTCCTATCGGTAGGTCGCTTCATGTAATACATAATACGTGTCAAGATTCAATACCGAGTACTCTGTCAGTTGATAATTTGCTATTCAGTGACGGCTACCATTTATCTTATCACAATGAAGAACTATGTCCACCTGTAATCAACTCAATGTAAATATACAAGTATAACTCAGCTAAGAATGGATCAACACTACGCACCCAACAGTACTTACATGGCATTGACGGTAGGGCTTGAAAACTACCCATATAGTTGGGTCCAAGTTTAGTCATTATAGAAACACGATTGGCAGTTAACGGTTCCTCAATAAAATGAAACGGACCTATCTTCCATAACAGTTTACTAAATCTACGCATAGATGCAGGTGTACCAATAAATCCGCACAACGATGAAGACATGACATTACGTCCAAGAGCACTCGACGCAGATGATGCACCAATGTAAGTGACCTGAATAGAGATATTTGAAACAAAAATGAATACAAAAAAACCAGTTAAACCGTTTCTCGAATTCTTCAAATGTAGTTGATTGAGTATATTAAAGGAAAGACCTTAGCTCATCAAAATTTCGTCTGGAAAATAATCACCAATGCGGTATTTTTGTCGCTGTGGTGCTATGAGGTGCTATGTGGTACTATGATTACTCCATTTCTACTAACCCTACCAAAGTGAATAGGATATTAGTGTGGGAAAAGTTTCAACCATTTTTATATTTTCTTCTTGATGACAGAAAATAAGTATATCGACGCCACCAATTAAACACTTTTTTGGGAAAATAAAACCTTAAAGTCTGAATTATTTATGCTGAAAGTTAACGCTATCCAGCTGGGATGTCGTGACAACTCATCCAGGTTTCATAATAAAGTAAGCTAATTCCAGCCTTATTTATTCACACGTGAATATTCGATTTAGAGCGATGGTTCATTCACCTATGCACTCGACTCTCAAGTTATGGCTTTCAAATTCAAATCCCACTCCTATTACCTGGGTAACCAGGTAGTATCATAAGGTCTAACACAACGTGTGGCTACTAGTGCATAAAAGCCAGTACCGGATTCAGTTGAATTATCTTATGGTGCATCTCTTGGTATCTATGTTGTGCCGAATTTTGAAAAAATACATAAGTAATAACCAGTTGATAACATTAATGTCTTATTGTATAAGCTATTCTAATTGGTTTCAGGTCCACCTGACATCTGAAACTCTTGACGAAACAGAACAGGATCGTTCTCAGCGATGATATAGATGCATCTATGCTTTTTCTTCACCTCAACTTTGAAATCAAATTCCACTATCTGGTCATGATTTCTGATATTACTTATACTCCTTTTTCTTGTCTTGTAGCCTTGTTGTTTGATGTAGGATGTTGTAATTCGGAATGTTACAGTGTCCCATAATGATATTGACTGACTAACTGAACTGACTTCGGTTAAATTACTTGATAAACCCTCTCGGTAAGATCGGAAATATGTATAATGACAGGTTGGAAATTAGTTATAGAAA